GTACTCTACCTACCTTAGTCCATTAATCTACTTCCCTAATTCAAGCTTTGTTCGACCCTCAAGGATCCGCATCTTTCTAGGGGTGTGCATGGATGTCCAGTCTTGATAGGTCCCAAGTACCTACCGTTGTACCATTTTCTTAAGATGATCTGCCAATTTGTATGGAGGGGATGAAATCATGGCCGCTTGCTTGTGCGATCGAGGCTAGACCATGCACCTTGTATTTAGAATACTTTTATTTAAATATTTGGCACTGGGATGGCACGAATCAATTATTAACACGATCAATTGATTAATTAATTAATTAGCCTAAGCTTGCCTGCTTAAGGAACAAACCTTTGTGATGTTTGTTGGCCCACGGTTGTGTCATGCAGATATGCAGGAGGCAGGTAATAATAGTCTACCTGAAGCACCTTGATGTGAGATGCCTTGCCTTAGCTTTCGACTATGCCTTAGGAACTAAGCAGCTAAGGTACCTTAAAGTAATGTACATGTATTCTATGACACTGGAAGATAAGCTGATCGGAGCTTTGTCCTACTCCTCGTCCTTTCTTTGTCCTGTTGCATCATGCCCAAGTCCTCCACCCCACACTCGTTCACGGTAATTATCTCATAATTGTGATTGTACGGTACTACTTTACCCTATTAATTGTTGGGGGGGCTGGGAAAACCCCGTTCTTCCTCCTGGTGCTCGCGCGTCAAAAGCTTGGCTTGGCTTGGCTTGGCTGAAGTAACAGGAACAGCTTGACCCCAACCACCAAACGGCAACGCGGCGACACTCTTCGAATCCCGTAGGGACTTCTCCCTTACTCCAGAGGCTTTTCGACTTCTCATGCTGTCTGATCCTGTTTGCTGCTGGGTTCAATGATCAGAAGGCTGTCGGGCTCCGCTGAGGATACCGACAACAGCGCCCCTACCCAAGCCGAGACTGCTCCCCCTAACAAGCATGGAAACAACAAGCATGGAAACAACAAGCATGGAAAGAAGAAGAGCTTCACCTCTGCCAAGTATGACGTGACAAGGCACTCCGATACCCTGGATCGGAGGAAAATCGAGAAAGCAATTGGCCTTATTCAATCCCCTCCTAATGGATCCAATCCGTCTCCGCCGGCAGAAAATCGACAGGGCGTTTCCAGCAAGAAGCAGCTTCTCCTGGCACCAGGAGAGGACATCGACAGAATGCCGGAACCTCGGACCTGGCGACGCTCCCGAGCGCGGAACCCCTGGGCATGCTCATTGCTGACCATCAGTGTTACCGCCTTGTCCGCCCTGATCCTCCTCTTCATCGTTCATGCCTTCCTTACTCGACAGCTTGATCCTAAGGGATGCGATATGTGCTGGTCACGGCCAATTTACATCAAGTTCTCCGACTTCGATACCGAGCATACGCGTTTCGCTAGCAAATACAATCTGTACTTGTACCGAGAAGGGGGCTTTGACGAAGACCCAAAGGTGGGAGTCTACATGAAACATCCAATTCTGGTATGCTGATTCTCTTTAGGTCAAGGGTGTCCCTGTCTTGTTCATACCCGGAAATGCAGGAAGCTACAAACAAGCGAGATGCCTGGCTTTCGAAGCAGCCTCGTACTACCATGATAGTATACAACAAGATGCCCAGGCTTTGAAAGAGGGCATGACAAGTTTAGATTTCTTCTCCGTCGATTTCAATGAAGATTTTTCCGCTTTTCACGGTCAGACCATATTAGATCAGGCAGAGTACCTGAACGATGCCGTTGCTTACATATTGTCACTTTACCATGACCCTCGAAGGTCTCAGCGTGATCCTGGTCTGCCTGATCCCAGCTCAGTCATCCTAGTGGGCCATTCCATGGGCGGTGTTGTTGCTCGAACGATGCTTACCATGCCAAATTACCAATCGAACTCGATCAATACCATCGTTACCATGTCTGCGCCCCATGCAAGGCCACCCGTCTCCGTCGATGCTGAGTCCGTGCGAACATACAAGCGGATCAATGACTATTGGAGACAAGCGTACACACAGAAATGGGCAAACGACAATCCTTTATGGCATGTCACTTTGATCTCAATCGCTGGTGGAGGCTTGGATACAGTGGTGCCCTCGGATTTTGCCAGTCTCGAATCCCTTGTACCAAGCACCCATGGGTTCACTGTTTTCACCTCCGGTATACCCAATGTGTGGACTGGTGCGGATCACATACAGACTACGTGGTGTGTCCAATTGATGAAGCCGATAGTAAGATCAATATTCAGCACTTTGGATGTACATCGACCGGGGCAAACAAAGCCAAGGGCGGAGCGAATGCGTATTTTTCGAAGTTGGTATTTGACCGGAATGGAGGATGTGGTGGAGAAAACGCTGCCACAAAAAGAATCATCCACATTGCTCACCTTAGAAGACAATTCACATTCCGTAATGTCTGTGGGAGAAAATCTCGTGTTGAGAGACCTTGGACGTGCAGGGAAACCAAAAGCACACCTTCTTCCGGTTCCTATGCGAATTCCGCAGGGCTCGAAAAGCTTCATTTTGCTGTCTGATCAACGCTTGGAAGAACCTGGGACTACTGCTCAGATCGAGGTGCTTTTCTGCAGCGTCTTTCCATTGCAGCATGGCCAATCATCAACGCTGTTCTCAATGAACATGGATCTGTCCGGTGGTACTTCTGGCTCTACTAGACTGGCCTGCAAAAACGCTGCCTCAGATGTTATTCGTCTTCCAGCTTCAAAAAAGATGTCCGCTCACCCATACGATAAAGCGCAACCTATGTCCTATCTCCAATATGACTTAGAAGACCTTGCAGACTACCAGTTTGTCGCTGTGGTCGATAAGACTGTGGAACCAAGCCAAGGATGGGCCATCGCAGAGTTCACTGAAAAGTTCGACTCCATTATCGAGACCGATTTAGGCCTCCGGCGACTCCTCTCGTTCGGTCTACATCTCAAACTACCTGCAGCTAGGCCTTTCATGACTCAGATCAAGATTCCCGCGCTTCATTCGAGTCTGCTTGCTTTCAAATTGAACCTGGGCAAGCAAGCCTGCGGCGATGACGCAGAGCTGTTCACCCCACTTCTGCGACAGCATCTCTCGGAACCACATGAGTCGAAATACTTTGTGAATGTGAAGGATGCGAACATCAGCCTGCACGGCGTGGCTCCATTCATGCCGCCGCCACTGCGCGCTCAAACTGTCAGTGATGGTGTCTCATTACAGTTCTGGTCCGATCCAACCTGTAATTCTTCGATTGACGTATCAATGAACGTCGATGTACCGGGTAGCATGGGGAAATTGGTGATGCGGTACAGGATGGTTTTCGCGGCCTTTCCACTAGTCATTGTCGCCCTTGTGCTTCGGAAACAATTCAAAGTGTACGACGAAAGTGGTGAGTGCAAGTTCTCCAAATTGGAGGAGTCTGTAGCTGACCCAGAGCAGGAATCTTTATCACGTTTGCAGAATCTCTAGACCTTTGCCTGAAAACATCGTTGCCGGTGTTGCTCCTTGCACTGACCTTCCTCGCCATGGGTTTGACAATATCAAGTGCTGCGCCTCCGAGGCCCGTATCTACTGGCTGGCTTGGTTGGGGAGGAAATGCCACAGAGTCAGCCATCGACTTCACCAAGAACGACCTTTTACTAGGCTCACAAGATCCAATCTTCTGGTTTCTGGTCCCGCTGTTCGGCCTCATCAATGTTGGTATCTGCGTTGGTGTCAATTATGTAACTCTCGGACTGACAAACCTCTTCTACTTGCCATATAATTTTCTGACCGCTAGGCCGGCGTGGGTGAGAGTTGAGGACGTGAGGTATGCAAATATTCAACTTTCGGTCTACCAGGAAGCCTCATCGACTAACCAACATGTAGTGGAAGATCTGTTGCTCCCGACTTCGCTGCCAGCTCACCCAGAAGACGCATCATTACCACCTGCGTACTACTCTTCTTAGTATCAACGTTCATTCCCTATCAGTTCGCCTACCTAGACGCTGTTCTTGTACAGCTATCGACGTGCACGCGGGCGCTGCGGTTGGTTCGGGAAACTGTAAGTCTCACGTAAACCCGTTGAAAATTGCGAGAAATCTAATATAGGACAGCGATCTGGCGGCCACTATAATTTCTACAATTATTCTCATTCAATGCTGATCCTCATGCTCTGGGTACTCCCCATCAACGTACCCGTCCTTCTCGTCTGGGCCCACAATCTCGCGGTGCAGTGGCTCACACCGTTCTCCTCACACCATAATGTCTTATCCATAATGCCCTACTTAATACTCGTCGAAACCCTTACCTGCGGCAAGATGATCCCCCGCGTCACATCGAGGGCTCGCTACGTCACTAACATCCTCTTCTTCATACTCGCCGGCTACGCTGCAGTCTATGGCGTGACGTACGCATACGCATTGCATCACATTGTCAACTTGGTTTGTGCTTGGTTGGTTGCGGTGCATTTCTCCAGCAATGAAGTGTCGCTGCAAGGCTTAAGTCAGATCTTAGAGGGAGTCGACGACGGGAACGATAGAGGTGCGAAGAAGAGACCTTAGTAGAGAGATGTGATTTTGCATGGGTTCACAGCGGGTTAATTAGCGAGTTATGCTTCCCTTCGGTGCATATATATTCGGGAATGGGTAGAAGCAAGACATTAGATAATGTATCATGGGACTATGATTGGGAGATCAGATCGTAATGTCTCAAACGCAAGGAACAGTGGATCTATTGGGTATCAGCTTCATCTTTGCTATCTATCGACCACTCTTCAGAAAACCGCTGTCCCAAGCCGTGCTCTCATCAGGATCGGGTGTCTAGGTGCAGTAGCAAGCCATGAAGCCACCGCAGAGTCCTCTTCTGTCTATTCCCAACGCCCACAATGCAGTGACATCGCAGTCATGATGTGAATAAGTAAAGAGCATCAAGAACCTAGCAAACGCTCATGGGCAGCCAATGCCCAGAAGGCCTCAGCTAAATTCGTAAGTTATTCTTTCACATAGCTACGTCGCCGAGTCAAGCAGCTAACACTGGCGGACTGGCCTCATCATCGACCTCCACCACTGCCACCTCCCCGTAGATTTCTGAACCAGCCTGTTATACCGGATCCCTGGCTGCTCCCGCTGCTCCCTTCACCAACATTCCCACTGCCGTTGCCATTGCCGTTGCCATTGCCGTTGCCGTTGCCATTGTCATTGCTATTTCCCCTCGCGTTGTTTCTCCTCCTCTGACTGTGCTGCGAAGGCTGTGGCGAAAGTTGTCCTCGTGGCTGAACAAATGCTTGTGGTTCTGAATACCGCTGAAAACCCCCGAGGACATATGGCAGATTCATGCCTGGCTGGGTGAAAGCGCCTGGCATGGGGGGTCGCTGATTGATGCCGTTCTGGCTCGGGGAGGGACCTGAACTGGGCGAATTATTATCCGGGAACGGATTCTGGGTATACCGTGGCGCCTGGCTTGGAGACCGTGGAGCGTCGGCTCCGCCTTCCTTTGGCATGATGCCCGCTCGACAGTGGGGACAAGTGTCGTGCTCTTTAAGCCAAGCGCCCACGCAGTCTCCGTGGAACCAATGATTGCACGGCAGAACAGTAACTTCGTCTCCAACGTCTACGGCGTCCATACACACTGAGCATTCCGCTTTTCCGTCTGACCCCATCATAGTCTTGTCTGCTGGCTTTTTGGGTAGCGCAGCTATAGCTGCCGCCGAAGCTGGACCCGGAGCGCTGCCTTGATGGTTCTGATCCATCATCTGCGTAATTATGCGGTCGAGGGCTTCTTCGCTGTAAACGGCGTCTCCAGATACGCCGCCGAGCATTTGTGTGATGAATGTGTTAAGGTTGGGCATACCAGCGTGCTGGCCACGATCTCCATGAGGATCGACCATGCTAGCTTGCACCGATTGTAGCATTGTGGCAAGCACGCTATGGGTGTTTAGTAATTGACAAGTACCAAATAATACGTATTTACTGACCTGTGGAGATTGTTTATGTTTCGGTCGTTCGGAGGTGCATTGGGACCGTTCTGAGGCCATATTCGGCCGGTTGCTGTGAAGGCCTGTCGGCCGCCCGACGGACCAGAGCCGGGAGTCCATGGGCTATGATGATGGTGAATGTGGTGATGCTGGTGGTTAGGAAAGGGGTTCTGAGATGCGAATTCTGGGCGGTGAATATGAGTTGGATGCTGTATGGCCCGGATGTTCCTCGCTTGCGTTCGGCCCTGGGCATTTGCATTTGCATTTGCAGCGCCTTCAAATATGGTGGAAATGCTTTGAAAGAGGGGCGCGAAGGGATCATTGGCTTGACCTCGACCCATAGGAGAAGACGACCGATAGGAAGTGCGAGCGAAGTGCACGCCCGGAGCAGGATTCCATTCGACATGCTCGATATCTGGCTCATCGGGATCTGGCGCTTCTGCTTGCCAGGGATTGTGATGATGTAAAGTATGGTGGGGTAGGCTGTCATTGCTGGTTAAAGTGGCCTCGTCGTCATCATCGTCATCATCGCTCATATCGACATGATTGTCGCGTGGATCGTGACGCTCGTCGATCTGTCGACAGGAAGGGTCAGGATTTGAAAGGTCTTGCGAATGATATCGCAGCCTTTGACAGCAAGGTAAACCAGCTCAACACTGGGAAGACTCACAATCTCAACAACGTCGGAATGGCATTCTGGGCACTGCAGACCATGCTGATCCCGCAGCCATTCATTTTGACAGGCGTGGCAGAAGACGAGTTCTCGCTGCTGTTCCCCTTGGTCGGCCATATTATGTCTTGACAGATTAGGCTTTCTCCTCTCCACGCAGCGGTTGTTAGATTGTGTCAAAGAAGCTCTTCTTCAGGTTGGTGTGGCAAGTTGCTGCGGATTGAATGAAGGTGAAGGCGTCAAGCAAGTGCCTGGATAAGGCAGTGAATCATGTGGTGTGGTGTGGCGTATCGGAGTGGTTGTAGACTTGTAGTAGTCAGGTTTGAGGCGCAGTGGGGTTCCCGTGAGACAGAGAAGTGAACGACTGAAACACAGGCCGGGGGGAGGGGGGGGGTATATGTGAATGATAAGATATGTTGGTTGATAAAGAGTTGTTCAAGATGAAATGGATATTGATGTCAGAGTAAGCAGTTAGAGTGGAGTAATGAATGTCAGATAGAGTGGTTGGTTGTAAGGAAGTGATCATCCCTTCTCCGTTTCCGGTTCCAGCCTTGAGCCAAGCGAGCCAAGGCAACTGACACTGATGCTGACACTGACACCAGTACCCTTTCACCCTTTCACCCTTTGTCAAACAATTCGCTGTTACTTTGTATACAAAGAAACATAAACGATAATAGGCAATGAAATGTCAGAAGTCGAGAAAAAGTTGGTACCAGGTGCCCTGGTGGTGTAGAGTAAATTCATACGTAAATGGTAAGAGAATTGGCCATCAGTCTTTCAGGCGGGCGGGCAGCAATCAGACCCGTGTCATATTGTTTGGCCTTTTTCGCTTCTTCGCCTTTCTACTATTTTCCATACCGAACATCATGCACCACCAGCACCATGATTCTTCTTGCCACACCAACCCGGTCAACCACAGCCACCAACCATTACGGTAATCTTGCAAGTCCGCCTCGATTGACGAATCTCATGAGCTCCCTTGTTCCAGCTACGTCTAAAGCACACAGACACTACTCGATTGATCGAATCGCAGCCACATGAACCTGTACCTGAAACAACGCCCTCTACCTCCTCCTTGCTCCTTTGAATATCATAGCACCCACCCCGGCCGCTGCAATGGCCACACCACTGAGTATTGCTACTCCCAGCAGACCTTCCTTGGCGACCTTATCATCAATGAGGCCCCGCAAACTCCCTGCCTGCAGATTCGATGGCTCGTGGTCGAGAAGTAGATCATTATATCTGCGAGCCTCTGCGTAGTTTCCCAGCTTGTAGTTTCCGAGGGCCAGATAGTACAAGCATTCCCGCCTCCGCTCCGGTGCGTTTCGAAATATCTCCGACAGTAGGCGAACGCCTTCTTGTTGCTCACCGCGTGCCGAGGATTTGATCAGGCCCTGGGATAGAATGAGCAAGAGAATTCGAAATATTATTACTGGTTGTGACCCACCCATGCATAGTTAAATTTGGTCTGCACGCCGACGTAGTCTCCCTCTTTCTCGTATTGATCTCGCAGTACTTTGAGCTCGGAGGGTTTCAGGGGACTACGTAGCCTCACAGTGAGTGTGCTGATACCGGAAGTACTTTTTGAACGGGTGTCCTACCTATCAGCATCTGCTGCATCTGGTACATGTCGAGCCATGTTAGCTAGCATAGGTTCCAGGAAGCTCAATTATGCTAAGATTGGGCCCACCAAGCCCAGAAGAACGAAAGAAGCTTACATGGTAAATGAGACATTCCAACTCTTGTAGACCAATGTCGATGAATAAACAATGGGACCTAGACGGAAAGAGAGACGAGTAAAAGTGAAAGTACGGTAGGCGACAACGGTGCTTAAATGTAGAGACTCTTGGTCGTGCGCGTGCTCGTGCTTGGCTTGGCTTGGTGAGGCTTGGGCTTACTCGTAGGCTTGGCTCCGCGTCATTCGTGTGGCGTTGGACGCTAGCTCTGCTAGCTGCCGGCGGGATGCTCCACGGTTGTGGTCGATCATCTTCATTGTTTACTTTCTCACAAAACCACAAAACTTCACTGCCGATCCAAGCCATTCAAAGCAAACACCACTCGAAACCAACATCACTATCCTAGGAACGACGGGTACGTTGATGATTCTAGGTTAAGCTTGTCCATCGAGTGACAACAGTAAGCACGGCCTGCTTCCAAGATGTTATTCGACGAGGACCCAGCCATGGTAAGAGCTCTCTGTTGAAGTGAATTCCGAGTAGTCACTATACTAATCTGTTTGAAGCTTGTTCAAAGCACCATGGCCAATTTTCATATCGACACAGACAAGATCGCCATCGGCCGCATCAATGAATCTCTCTCGACCCTCCAGCAAGCTCGTGATCTACGCATACGGGAAGCCGAGAGCGCCTTGAAGAGTATTTATGCTCTCCTTCATCTTCGCAGATGTCCCAATACTTATCGATTACCCAGAGTTATCACGCAACTTTGCGACTATGTCACAGCAACACAGCGAGACTGTCTCCTCGCAAAGCAGTACAGATCATGCGTCCCAAATAGTTGAGCTCGATACACAGAAATTCCGTGCTGCTAAAGCAGCCTCAGACCTCGAAATTGAGGGGGAGAGGCTAGAGCAGGAGGGGGAAGGTCTGAAGAGCCGATTACATGACTTGGAGGTCGAAGGGGTAGAAGGAGACAACATGGCGAGGGCGAAGAGAGAGATGGATGACCCTACAATGTGAGCGTCCCTGATTTTTACTGATGGTATTCGCGTCATTGCTAATTACTGCATTCGCAGACTAAAGCTAAAGGTGTATCGATCCCTTGGTATTGATGTCGAAGCCGATAGTACAGGCAACTACAACAAAGCCGTAATCCGAAACCACCAGAAAGGCGACGTCCATGTTATCAACGTCGACCCAAAATTCTCTAAATTCTTTTATTCAAATTATTTTTGGCAGACAATGCGCTAGGGGGGCAATCTGACGTTCATGTTCGGACATAGCGTGGCGTCCCACGAGTGGCGGCTGGAGTAATAAAGGCGTCTCGGTGAAGGGACTTGCTTGGTGCAGGCTGAAAGCATCTCGACCCAAGATGATCGGCCTTCTGATGGCGATGGAGTTGTGCGATGGCTTCTGGTATTTGCAAGGCCAGCATCCACGTAGGATTGTACATGGATCAACAATAGGTCTCGTTGTTGTGTAGCAGCACTTATAATAGCCTCGACACGATGTGAAGATATAGAAGGTGGGAGCAATTGTGAAAGAAAGTGGGGTTCGTGGCTTCGCCAGAAACTGTGACAGCATACATTAGTGTCAAGTGCGTTGCTTCTTGTAATCACATCTCAGAGAATTCATATTTCGAATTGTCTCAGGTCATCTCAATGTGTCAGTTGTCCAACATTTTTTGGACAATTCAAAATCATGGACAATACAAATTGAAGCTATGAGGAAAAACCAAGGGTCAAAGCCTCGCAATAAGGTACGGTAGATAAGATGATGGACGGCTCTTCCCGGCTGGCAGCCGCATCTCCAGATCCAAGCTCGCCAAGTCCGCTGAGGGACACATTCTCCTTTAACGACAGCATGCCTCGACACAGACCTCCAACTTCAGGCTATGCCCGGATAGCTCAAGCAGATGATGAGAATGCTTATCTGGATGATTCTGAAGAAGATGACGCCTTCCGTGTCCCTCGAACGATATCCACCCTCTCAGCACCTCGCTATGCCCCCATTCAGCCACAACCCCATGGACCAATGCAAGCGGACCTCAATGAGAGCTCTACCAGACACCAGAGACGGCTGAATACCGGTAGACGGCGGTTGCGAAGGAATTCGTCGGGTGTGGACATTAAAGCAATAAATGCTAGATTGGAGAGATGGGCGGAAGAAATAGCGTCAAAGTTCAAGATCAGCAAGGTGAAAGGGAAGACGCAAGAAGAGGAACAGTTGGAGATTAAACACTCGGTATTCCAGGCTCCGGAAGGGTTACGCCCAGCAAGTGTAGAAACTCTTGCGTCAGATGTTAGCGAAACCCAAGGAGACAGGATGACAAAAATGGGATTCGACGATGTTGTGGAGAGCGTTAAAGTCGCCATCGAGCTTGGTGTACATCCAAAAATGATTTCGCAAGGTAGTTCAGGGAGCTACTTCGCCCAAAACAGCGACGGAAAAGTTGTCGGAGTATTCAAACCAAAAGACGAGGAGCCATACGCGTCGAGAAATCCCAAGTGGACCAAGTGGCTACATCGAAATCTGTTTCCTTGCTTTTTTGGCAGAGCATGTCTTATACCTAATCTTTCCTACGTATCCGAGGCAGCTGCGTACGTGTTGGACAGTAGGCTACGGACGAACTTGGTGCCCTATACGGATATCGTGTACCTTTCATCTAAATCATTCCATTACGATTTCTGGGACAAGTCTGCATACTACCGAAAACGGAAACCTTTACCTGCAAAGGTTGGAAGCTTCCAGGTCTTTCTCAAGGGATTCAAAGACGCAAATTTATTCTTGCGGGATCACCCATGGCCAGATCAAGTCAATTCAGGCTTCCGGCCGGACGATGCGCCAAGATGGAGAAAGAAGCCTTGGACAGAGACATGCAGGCCTAGTAGCGCTCCGTTAGAGGATGATGAAGAGATTCGCAGCGACGTTCGGTCCATGAACGGCAATGAAGAACCCCAAGGTCAGGATAGGGGGTTTTCATGGACGGACCCACTCAAGCAGGCTTTCCGAGAAGAGCTGGAGAAGCTTGTGATCCTAGACTATATTATGAGAAACACAGACCGAGGCTTGGACAATTGGATGATTAGGGTAGATGCTGCGAATCAAGAGGTCTCTATTGTTGCGGACCCGTCGCAAATGAGCGGCCGTTCTGGTGAGCGGCCTGTTCCCATGATCAAAACCAACAGCGAAGGAAACATAAAGCCCAGTACATCCCCTTACAAGCGTCAAGAGGCTATGTCGACTGCGAGCAGATCAGACACACCTTCGAATCTCGATTCAGAAAAAGGTGCCGCCATTTCGATTGGGGCCATCGACAATAGTTTGTCGTGGCCATGGAAGCACCCAGATGCTGTAAGCCAATCTACAAATGCAGTGCGAGCTTACGCTAATCGCTTCCCAGTGGCGAAGCTTCCCATTCGGCTGGCTCTTCCTCCCTGTTTCTCTGATTGGCCAACCATTTTCACAAAAGACTCGAGATCACTTCCTTCCTTTGCTCACCTCTACGAAATGGTGGAGCGATACACAACTAGCTCTCCGTCGAGTATTTAGCCAGGACTCCGACTTCAAGGAAAAAATGTTTGCCAGGCAGATAGCCGTAATGAAAGGGCAAGCATGGAACGTGGTTGAGACGCTGAAAACATCAGATCATGGCCCGCTCGAGTTGACTCGGCGCACGCGTGTGTGCGTGTGGGATGACCTTGTTGATATCCCTGTTGCGATTCCTATGCGAGTACCTTCCGCTGAGATGCGGAGGCGGAGAGATAACGATGTGCGGAAAAGTATCGAAGAAGAGGAAATGGACATAAGCGCTGCCAACGCCTCTGCACCACAACCACAACACGATCTTCTTGGCCTGTCGTCACCCACAACTGATCTACCCAATCCAAATCGCTTCGATCTTTCACGAAATAACAGCACATCGGACCTGGGCCAGTTCCCTAATGGGACCGAGAGTCCAATGACTGTCCAGGGGCCATTGGTAGACCACCAAGCCGAGTTAGACGAGGCCAAAATGGTCCACGCAAACAACACCAGACCAAGTGCCACAAGATCGAAGACTCGACTCAGCTTGGAAGGGCACGGTAAGAATGCAAGCACGAGCAGCCAAAGGCGGCGCTACTCTTTCTCGACCCGACATGGTGGAGGCTTTCTGGGCGGTAGTGACGATCTGGAAGGAGATCTAGGCTACTCGGCTGCCGAGGGTATGGAAGGAAATCAGCGAAAAGTAATTGTGGAAAGGCTGGAAACGGTAAGAAGCAAGAACCCTGTGTTCACATGGTGTTAGAGGGTCTGGGTGCATGTCTACTGCTTGTACGATATGAGTATAGGGTATCATAACACATGAAGGGTGTTGATACATGGTGGACCGGGCATGAAGCATCACACCACTCGATGGCGCTCAGGTTGCTAGAAAGGTTGCTAGACCTAGAATCAGCATAGCGTATGTCGAGTTATAATCAGATCCTGCTCTGATTTGATAGGGTATTTACTAGAGTATAAGGTACCTCGTTGAACATTCATTACCTTACTTACCCAAAACAATTCAAGCTTGGTGACACGGCCGTTTGGAGAAGTGAGCGGTCAGCGAACATCCTGGTGAGGCTCGTGAGGCTTGTAAGTTGTGAGGCTCTTTACTTGCCCTAAGGTACCTAGCTACCTAGGTAGGTACCCCAATTTTTAAGGTCACCGGCTACGAGTACCTTATCTTAGTTCCCGTAGATAGCGTCACTGCATGAAAGTGCATGCATGGCATAATCGACTACTCTACCTTAGGCAAGTAATCGTGGCGTTCCTCGGCATCGACTCATCTCATTGGGTAAGCATTCAAGCTAAGAGTCGTCTCATTGTTTTCGCACTTCGAGGCATCGACGGACATACAAAAAGATAGAAGATAACATTCCAAAAGTACTTGTAGAAAGATGCCTGGAATCACTCGAATCACTTGAATCATTTGGCCCCTCATTCACTTCCTTCACTTCATTCGCCTCTTATCACAATGCCCTCTTTGTCCTTTCTTCATCCTCCACCTCAAACTACCATCTCTCACTGAAATCACCACTCTCATGATCACAACCTCGACAGCTTCCTCGAGCCATACATCTCACCACATGGCTTCCTGGACAGGGGCCAACGGTACCCAGCTATCTGCTGCAGCGCTCACAGATCCCAAAGCCTTGAAGAAGCACTTGGCCAATGGTACTTCCATTTCATCTCACTTTGCATCTTCTTCTGTGCCAGCTCGTCGCGGCAGTGAACCCCCTCGTTCTGAGCCTTTTTTTGAAACACCCTTGATTCCCGATCTTGCATCGCAAAAATCAAAGGATGACGCTTACGATGCCCTTGATCATAAAGGCAAGAAGGCCGTGAGCTCACAGAATGCGACAATAGCTGGGCAAGCGGCCTCGAGCTCGTTTGATCCACGTCGCCTTCTCGATCCGAAAGGCTTCAGCAATGACCAACGGCAAAGAGATTCTAAGAGCGCTTCAACCGAATCTACTATAGCTCAACCAAGTCCTTCCAATCTGCACCTAAACGGTAAACCCTCCGAGGCCGACGTCAATGGCTTGCGCAAGCGAGACCACGAGGACTACGAAGGTCAGGGTATGGGCAGCTTGATTGAGAAAGTGCATAATGTTTCACAACGTGAAGAACGTCCGCAGAAGAAGCCGAAAGCCGAGAGCGGCGAGTTCGATGTCGAAGAGGACAAGAAGGTCAGCTTCGTTGGCGGAGGCATGGGTGGAGAGATCGGAGAATACTTGAAAGAGAAAAAGAAGCAAGGCATCGCGGAGTCAGGGTCTGTCAACGCCGTGGTAGATCTGACTGGAGGTACGCATCCTTTATTCAAAGAAAGCTTTGTCGAGCACTGGTACTAATTGGAATCTTAGATGATGAAGATGAAGAAATCGTCGTCGTTGGTGACAGTCAGGAGAAGGAAGTGTGTTATGGACGCTTGCAACAGACAAAAGTTCAAGCTCATCAACTGCCGTGCCCCGGCGGTAAAGCTGTCTACATCAGTAAGGGCGACTGGCCCGCCATGAGGTTGCAGCTCAAGCGTTTCCCTGGAAAAGACAACATTATTCGCGTCATCGATCCCATGGGCAAAGACTTCGGCAACGTTGATCTGAAAACCTCATTCGCCCTTGCAAGGATCATGGACTCCAAAAACCCTCGATTTCGAACGCAAGCTAGGATCACCATAAGAAAGAGACAGCCTAACGACTACCCGGGCAAAGAATGCTCCGAATACTTTGACATTACGATCAACTTGTACGGTCCGAAGGTCAAGGCCCAGCCACTGGGTAAATTTCTCAGGCAGAGAAGTGTTTTACTCGGACCTCCATTCATGGTAGATAGTGGGATCGAGGTCGTCAACCCACATCAACCTGCCGACACGCCTCCGAGGACCTCTTATGGAGGGACACAGAGCGCGCCCCGTACAGCTCCTGGTTACGTCGTTCGTACTGCAGAGGAGATTCATAACGATATTGTTGGAATGTTTGATTCTCTTGAGCAGTCAGAGAATCTGCCAGAGAAAGAAGCTGACCCTCGTATCATCACACCGTTGCTCAGCCATCAGAAACAAGGTCTCTACTTCCTCAGCAACAAGGAAGAAAAGCGAGTTTTCAGCGACAACGACGAAGACAATAATTCGCTGTGGCGCTTAAGATATCGACCTAATGGATCACCTACCTATTACAACGTCATCACCGGCACAGAAGAGCGCAATAAGCCACCTGAAGTACTCGGAGGAATCCTAGCAGATATGATGGGTCTAGGCAAGACACTGAGTATCTTGTCTCTCATTGTTGGAAGTTTGGAGGCAGCCGGCGAATGGGAAGAGATCGGGCACTTGCCAGAAATAGATGGCGACAGAGCCTTGATTCGCAATTCGAAAACCACATTACTTGTCTCTCCGTTGAGCACTCTCGCGAACTGGGAAGATCAGATCGCTACTCACATCAAGCCTGGGGCATTGAACTACTATGTCTATCATGGCGCCAATCGTATCACAGATATTAATGCTTTGGCCCGATTTGATCTTGTTATTACGACCTACAGCATCGTGGCTAGCGAATATGGAGGACGTGCCAAACGCAAAGACATCGAACCATTGCTGCAAACGAACTTCTTCCGCATTGTCCTTGACGAGGCGCACATGATCCGTGAGCAATCCACCCGTCAATCTCAAGCTATCTGCGCACTTTCAGCCCAGCGAAGATGGGCCGTGACGGGTACTCCAGTCCAGAATAGATTGGATGACTTGGGAGCGTTAGTCAAATTTCTACGAGTCCAGCCTTTCGACAAGGGCGGCTTTTCTCAATTCATCCTTGCTCCGTTCAAGAACGCAGATCCTGAAATCATACCGAAGCTTCGACTTCTTGTGGACAGCATTACTCTTCGACGTCTCAAAGATCGCATTGATCTTCCTGGGCGCCATGATCACGTTGTTAGATTGCCTTTTACTGATGAAGAGTTTGGTCTGTACGACTGGTTCGCAAAAGATTCTCAAAATACACTGAAGGTCATTGCTGGTGAGCAGAAAAAGAGCTTGGGCGGGAAAACGTATGCCCACATCCTTCGAGCAATCATGCGACTCCGTCTGCTCTGCGCCCATGGCCGTGAACTCCTCAGCGAAGATGATCTCAAAGTCACAGAAGGCTTTAGCTTGGACAACGCCATTACCCTCGACGATGAAGAAGAGGACAATAGGCCCGCTCTCAGCCCAAAGCAAGCTTACGAGATGCTCATGCTTTTCAGAGAGACTGATTCCGATACTTGCGTTCAATGTACGCGTAAGATTATCGTCAAAGACAGAGAAGATACGCCAAATGGTAGCGATGATCTACTTGGATGCATGTTGCCATGTTATCAGATCATCTGCAGACAGTGCATGGACGCTGTCAAGAGTTCGATTATCCAGAATTCTTCGGCGGACCATCGCTTCAAGTGCCCTTTTTGCGAGCAGACGTTGCGAACGTCGTTTTTCGAGCTTACCAAGGACGGCATCGAAGCCGCCGAAGAGGCTAGAGCTATGGCTAGGGAAAATCCCCGTCATGCGAAGATTATGGGAAGATATGGTGGCCCACATACGAAAGTCAAAGCACTTTTGGAGGATTTAAGGAGATCGGAAGTCGAGAGTCAGAGTCTACCGACTGGTGAACAGCCTATCAAGAGCGTCGTCTTCTCAGGCTGGACCGCCAATCTTGACCTGATCCAGATCGCGCTTGAAGACAGCAACGTCAAATTTGTTCGTCTCGATGGCAAGATGAGCCGCAAGAACCGCAATCTTTCTCTTGACGCATTTAGAGACGATCCGACAGTATGCGTCATACTCATTTCCATCATGGCTGGAGGTCTAGGTCTCAACTTGACCACTGGATCCAAAGTCTACGTCATGGAACCACAATTCAATCCGGCTGCTGAGGCTCAGGCTGTTGACAGGGTCCATCGTTTGGGTCAGAGACGCGAGGTTTTCACTTACCGCTTCATCATGAAGGACAGCTTCGAGGAGAAGATGCTGGATCTTCAGCGCAAGAAGCAGAACCTCGCCGATCTCAGTATGAATCGTGGCAGAATTGACAAGGCTGAAGCAGCGAAGCGCAAGCTGGATGAGCTTAGAAGCCTCTTCAGGTAGAGATTTTTTCTCAGACTCCACGCCATCTTTTATTTGATACTCGAAAGATATGACCAAAATTCATTGCGGAAATCACCAGCAAAATCACCAGCCAGCCATATGACACCTTTAACAGATCATCGAGCGGCAGAACTGCTCTGCATTCGATCTTGCCTGCCTTAAGCTAATGGTCTCTTGCATATCCACTGTCGATTCCGTACGACGCCATTATTCATGAATCGAAATGCTTGCCATCCTTCTCACTTCAAGCTTTACGATCAAGACCTTTGACTTTCCAAGTCGTTGGTCAACATATGAGGGCATTTGCATACATCAGAGCCGAATGAAGTTGAAACTGGAGTTCGGTCATACTTGAGAAGAGGCATTGGTTGATTGACTTGCTCAAGACAAAGGCGTTGGCAATCCATAGATTTGATACCCCATTGCAGCAGATAGCGAATGATTAGTCTCCTGAACTCCAGACCCAATCGCTGAGGATTTCAAAGTACCGCATCAGTCGTGCATGTGGTATTGGTCACAGATAGCATGTGACTAAGCAAAATGTAGATTCGCTGAATGGTGTAGGTACCTACGCTATGCCCAAGCCGCATCCCCTAGTAGAAAGAAGCTCTGCACACTCCTACAAGGAAAGGAAAGGAAAGGAAAGGAAAGGAAAGGAAAGGAAAGGAAAGGAAAGGAGAAGAAAGAAAGAACCCGGGTAAACGCTTATCAGAAGGGTATCGCCGCTATGCTCTGCACCACGAATCTTACGTACCACACTGCCTCCAATTTAGAGGCCGTCCAGCAATCCGCCTCGTATAAACTCAAGACGATATCTGCCAAGGCAGTATCATACAGAATGCGTCCTCCAGTCCGCCTTCAGAGCAACGCCAGTGCTGCAGCTAGCGAGCCCTTATCATACTTAACATATTTGCCCTTCCCCTTATCTAGTGCCTCGTAACGATCGTAGAAGCGTGCATAGAGCGGCTCCACCTGATGCCCCACTTCCCTACTCAATTCACTCTTTACCTCTCTCTCCATGCTGGGACTCAACTCCTTATGCCTCTTCACGCACTCGTCGAAGGAAGTGTTAAAGAGCTTGAACTTCTCTTTGATCGCATCCTTTTCTTTGCTGCCGAGAGATTTGACCACTTCCGCTGAGGTGAGAGAGGCGCCGGAATGTGGCCGGGCTCCTGAGGCATTTGTGCGAGTGGAGTCTAAGAGCGCCGATGACGGTTCACGCCAGGCGTCCATATACGTGGAGACACCTTTCCTGCGCCAAGTGTCGATCTTGGTTTGAGCGCCGGGATTGGCGCCGATAAGTGAGGCGAGATCAGAGGAGCGGATCATGCGGTCGATTAGAGCGACAGTGTTAGAGATGAAAACGCCATGAACAGCTTTGGATTTGAGCAGAATACGAGCACGTGATTCGAGGGTGGTCAGGTGTGCCTCAAGGGTGTCGAGAACGTAATGCGTTAGCAATTGAGCGCCGTCTGCGCCAACATCTAGGGATTTGAGCGAGGGTAAGGAGGTGGAGGAATTGTTCGAACGGTTAGCTGATGCGGACTGAGTCCAGTTGCCGTCACCTATAGAGGCCAGAATTGATGAGAGGGATTTGGGATAGACGGTAAGGGTCTGGAGGCGTGTCATCGTTTCAGAGGTGAAGGGAATGGCCGAGCCATCTGCAGGCAAAATAGCCAAGGACATAATGCGGCGTCGTTGGTCGTCTAGCAGCTCGGGGAGTGAGAATTTCGCGATTTCCCGGACTGGCGCTAGAGCATCCCCAAAGGGTAGCGGTTCTCCAGTCTTGGAGTTGAGATGGTGTGCTACATCTGTGACGACCTCAATGATCTCGTAAGCCAGGAAGCAGTCCGTGGTCAGGTTGGATTTGATGTGCATGTTAAGCTCGCGCAGAGTTTTGGCAAACTCGGCAAGGGCTCTGCGGCAAGTGGTTTCGAATGCTATGGTCCAAGCATCGCGGGGGAAGCACGCAGAAACATTCTGGAATTCGGCAAGGAAAATGCTATCGATCGCTTTGGCATATTGATTGATGGCATTGCTGCCTTGACGATAGATTTCATCGGAGTTCTTCTTCTTCGAGGTGCTGATCGATGCTAAAGATAGATTTTGAAGGCTACCGACGAGGTAAGGACCACGAATATCTGAGTAGATATGGATCGAGGCTGACTCGCTCTGGTTGGGAACTGTACTGCGAGCGCTTGGAGAAGAGATATATCTGTCCATAGCCTCCAACTCTGATGCAGTCCCATTTGATAAAGTTGGGAAGGGCAATTCTTTGGTGGATTAGCACTCGAGGTCATAGAACGGAACATATGCGTGGCCTACCCCTTGTGAGATAGTGCAGAGGCTCCAGAGGCTGAGAAAATTCGAGTAGCACGGAACGATAGACTTCTTCCATTTTCTTACTACCTTCAGCCAAAAGCTCGTTGAAGTCACCGATGGCCTGTTGATTGGCACGCATGTTTGTAGTGCCCATCTCGGTAAGAGCTCGATTCACACGTTTCAGCGAGTTCAAGTACTCGGTCAATCCGACTTGGGCCGGTCTGAATGTTGGTTCAGCGGAGAGACAGAGAGAATCTCCCCTTGATTAGACTTACCCAGCCCGAATGATCCTCTCTTCCTTACCTTTGTCTTGTCCCGGCTCAAGCATCTTGTCAATGTGCTTGATAAGCTTCTCAATGTCTTGAACAGAACGTTAGGTTCCATGTTGACTTCTTGGTCTGCCGACATACTATGTATTTTGATCTGATGCTGGTTTGTGTTGCTGTGCACTTGGCCCATCCCATCCCTGACTGTCCGACCTCCACCCTCGACACTTGCTTGAAGTGTCTTAAGTCTTCTGCCAATGTTTGCATGCTCATCTCTTTGTGCAAGGAGAACCTCTACCTCCGCTTTTTCCTCCGCCCAGACTGCCTTTTGAACTTTTGCCATCATTCGCTTGTGCTTCTTCTTGAACAGGATACAACTTATAAGAGACGGGGGGGAATGCCACCCCAGTTGGGTGCTGGCCTATCCTGATTATACAGATCTATAGTTATCAACCCTCAGATTCTACCAATTGATGGGAAAAAGCAACCCTATATTGTCAGGCGTCTGCAGGCTTCTACCGTCCTACAACTGCCACGTTTTCTGGCGGCCTGCAGAGCGTGCCTCATCAACGTGATAAAGCTCGGATGATCGATACCGCTAAACCCAGATTGGTTAGCATCGAAGTGGCCATAGTGAGATCAGTGGCTTGGCAACCGTCGTGTTTCTTCCGATGGAAACTCGAAAACAGTGAACCTCAAGGACTATGAACCAGCGCATAGGCTCTCTAGTTGTGGGATCATCAGTCGCTTTTACCCTCAACTATAGGCTCAATCCCTCAGCTGTGCGATATAACGACAGCGGTAGTACTACGCAATGGCCTAGCACTCGACCTAATATTTCCAAGAGAGGGCCAAAAGAATCGAGCCAGTAAGTGCACTCTTCAACTGCTTGGTATGACCGTCAAGACATAGGCAAAGTCAGGTGTAGATCACGTTTCCATGTGTACAATCGTCCCTTCTGTCGCATAAGTTGCTATTGATGCGTGTAATAAATCTAGTCCTTTCTAGTATTATGGTATTTACAAAGAATCATACTGCTGAAGCTTCTACTTTGGCACGCAGTGCGCCTATTGTTGGCCTGGCAAAGCAACTTCTGTGGCTCAGGACTTCGAAAAAATACGCTGACCCGAGGCTATGCAGAAAGGAAGACAATGACGCCAAAGCTCCAGCAGAAAGCCAGGATGACGAAATTCCCCTTTTCGAGGATGAGGATAGCGCAGCGTGGGCCTCTTTCTCTTTGAATGTTGCTATTGCCCGCAAGTCGATATCATCTGTCCAGGTACGTACATTGAAGAAATTCACCCCTCGTCGATACCATTGGTTTGGGTCGCGAGACATCTTTCAGGAACAAGAAACCAAATAACCCTCTGCGATCGTCTGATGAATCTGGTTCTTTTACCAGAAAGAGTCATCTTGAGACCGAATTGTTTTCTACGAAAGGAGAATTTTCAATTGGTAGAGGAGCAACAGCTCTACCTCCAAGGCTTGCTTCATACATCCAGCTTCTCGTTGGCATTTTGAAGGGTGCAGAGAGCATTGTTATTCCTGATCCCACAAGACAGGAGACTCCCTAGATGTATTTGCAGCCGGTTTCTAGCTGACGTCGAAATTCATACAGTGGACGACACTTGGAGACAAGATCACGGATCGATTCATTCCGCAATGGGCCTACGATCTTCCGGACTATGTGGCAAAGCTTCAGCGAGAGATGAACATGGCCAGAGGGTCACTTGCCGAGGAGATCTGGCAAGAAGCTCAGGATGAAAACATTCATCCCGAGATTGCGCTGAATGCGAGAGTAAGGGTCGGCAAAGACTTGTGTTCTGATGAAATGGCCTTCGTCCGGCGCAGAAAGAGATACACAAGGTGTGCGCTGGCAAAGTACCTCGAGATACCAGAGGCCGATGTGGATCCCAAAGACGTGCCCACCATCGCAGTGTGTGGATCAGGTGGAGGTCTAAGGGCCCTAGTTGCTGGAGCAGCATCATACTTGAGTGTAGAAAAGACCCCATGATGGCCTGCAATCATGCAATATTGACCATATGACAGGCGCAGGAGGCAGGGCTCTTTGATTGCGCCACTTACACGTAAGTATCCGCGGAGTCCATGTCCCCCCTCTCGGATTGAATCCTGAGATTTGAGACGTTTCTTGGCATTGTTGACTCTCTAGTCTTGTTACAAGTCTAAACATAAACCCTCAAATGAACAGTACTGACTCCAAATCTGTTATCCAGTGCCGGTGTCAGCGGCAGTTGCTGGCTGCAGACTCTGTACAACTCAAGTCTCGGTGGCCGTAGACATGACAAAGTTATAGAGCACCTGAAGAAACGCATAGGCATCCATATAGCATACCCTCCCAGTTTCCTAGACTTGTGTACTCGAGCTCCCACAAATAAATTCCTCCTTGCTGGCTCCGTGGAACGGCTCAGAGGAGACCCGCAAGCAGATTTTGGCCTCGTCGATGTTTATGGCCTACTGCTATCGAGCCGATTGATGATCCCACGAGATGAGCTCAGCGTCGACGATCGAGATCTCAAGCTCTCCAACCAACGGTTTTACCTCTCTAGTGGTGCAAATCCACTTCCCATTTATGCCGCTGTTAGGCATGAGATACCGTTAGAGGACGAGAAAGTGAAAGGCGAGACAATGGACGCAGCGAGGGAAAAGGCAAAGCAAGAGGCATGGTTCCAGTGGTTCGAATTTACTCCTTACGAGCTTTTTTGTGAAGAGTTTGAGGCCGGCATCCCCTCATGGAGCATCGGCCGTCACTTCCAAATGGGAAGAAGTGTGAACCGTGACAATAGGCCTCCACTTCCAGAGCTTCGCCTTCCGCTTCTGATGGGAATATGGGGCTCCGCATTTTGCGCCACCGTACGTAACTCCTGGGTCCAGATATCCTAAGCTGAGCCACCTTTCGAGGTTTGATATACGTTTCAAGAGGTCTCAGGAAGCAAATCTGTCTTCAATAGCCAATGCTGACTTCAAAACCTCTGTCAGCTTGCCCACTATTACAAAGAGGTCCGCCCCGTGATAAAAGGACTTGCTGGCTTTGGAGGTATCGACGCCCTGCTTGAGGAGAAGAACGATGACTTGATCAAATTGCATCCAATTGATCCAGGAACAATCCCAAATTTCGCAAGAGGCCTTGAAAACCGGCTGCCATCGACTTGTCCGAAGAGCATCTTCAACGATGAATATCTCGAGCTGATGGATGCTGTAAGTCACTGCCATGTTTCATGATGATGCATGCATGGGTCTTCCATTGGAACCGCAATTCTGCAGTTGCTCAATACTGATCTTCCTAGGGCATGAGCAATAATCTTCCTCTCTATCCGCTACTCCGTAGAGACCGAAACGTCGACATTGTTGTCTGCTTTGATGCTTCTGCCGATATCAGGCAGGAAAATTGGCTTTCTGTTGCCGAGGGCTACGCAAAACAACGAGGTGTCAGAGGATGGCCCGTAGGTGCTGGCTGGCCAAGAGCAGAAGACGAAACGAAGACGGAGCTCGACGCAGCTGATGCAGCGACAGCTCAACAGGCTGCTGGCAAAATAGCTGAGACGCGAGAAGAGCAGAGAGGGAGGTCTCAAAATAATGTCAAGGATCACATCGCAAAGCACGAGACCCAGGAATCTGACCTGGGCTATTGCAATGGTACGTAAATCTCCGAGTAGCTCCCTCCCAGCATGTACCGGCACTCAAGTATCAATACATTATCCCGGGAGTTCAGTTCCCGTCTATCCTCCACGTACGCTACATCTTTTGTACCTCAAGGTGATTTCGTGTACCAAGAAAGATATGCTGACTTGGAAAATTGCTCACAGTCTGGGTTGGCACCACCATGGATCGCAAGAGCGACGAAAAGCCATCACAAAGCTCGCGGGTTGAGCTCGATGCCGACTGGAAGCTCCTAGCTCCCGAGGCTGGAATTACGGTTGTCTATTTTCCCTTCCTACGAAATCCCAAGGTGGAAGACGTTGATCCAGACACGTCGCCGTTTCTTTCCACCTGGAACTTTATATATTCGCCACAAGAGATCGATAAGGTTGTCGCCCTCGCACGAGCTAACTTCGAAGCCGGCAGAGACCAAACGAAGAGGACTGTCAGGGCTGTATATGAGAGGAAAAAGGCTAAAAGACTGGAGGCGGAGGAGAAGGAGAAGATTCAGCGGTGGAAGAGGCACCTACGAGAGCATGGAGACCATTTTCAATGAGGTGGATTACTGTGCCTTGAATACTTGGAAGTTCGTTTGAGATACCCAAGCATTTCTGTTTTGTCAATTTCATCAAGCACTCGAGCAAGCCCGATGCAAGACTGATAAGCGCTGTTAGCAACCTTGTATTGCCGAAATTGGCGCGTTGTCTTGGGAATTCTGATGGAAAGATGGAGTGCCATGAAGTTTGGAATTTCTGTAAGGCGATGCACAACCTGCTGTTACGAAGGTCATGCTCGGGGCGCCAGGATGACATGCTCCGACGTCTTTGCTTCTATTGCTCGGAGATTCTGGCTGCGCTATGATATAAGGTACCTTACAGGTACCTTATGTCACCCTCGTTTAGCATCTTGGCATACCATCACAGCCCCATAATCTGACGCGCCATTCTCCGATTATCGTAATCATCTGAAGCGTCTCTCTAAAGTAAAGTAACGTGCTCTTTGATGGTGGTGTAAAAGGATGAGGAAGAGGTCAAGTCGTTAATGGTATTTTTAGCACTTGCAGTACTTATGAGTAGGGTTTGTGGCGCATGTGTCATTGGTTGCGGGTCGGATCTCTAAGGGGCCGGAGGGGCGGTTTAGGGGGCTAGGGGGCTAGGGGGCCACGCGGGGAACTCGTGTCCAAAGTCTCTAAACAGTTCAAGCTATCGTGTATAATATACTCACAACAACCATGGCAGATCGCCTGACACAGCTTCAAGACTGCTATGATCAAGTAAGATGCCGCTTACGTCTTCTCACCTTCACCAAAACTAACACGCACCAAAAGCTAGGAACGCAATTCTACGCTTCCATCCGTTATCTATCGCTCCATCACAATTCCTCCGCCCTCACACCCCCACCCCCACCTCCTTCCACCTCTCAACACAATCACAATAATAGCAACTCCAACGCAAATCCCAATTCCAACCACGAGCAACCTGAATCCTTCTCATACCCATCAGAACAACGTCCCGACACTCCCGCCGCGTTCGCATTCGCGCAGCGAGAACTAGCCCAAGATCTACTACTCAAAACAAAGCAGATTGAGCATCTCATCAGTGTGTTGCCGGGTGTAGAGAATAGTCAGGAGAAACAGAAGGCGCGGATTACGGGGCTGGATGCCGAGCTTGGGCAAGCGTTGGAAGAGCGAAAGAAGGCCGAGGAGGAGAGGGAGCTTTGGCTAGGAAAGGTCGATGGGATCATTGGGGGAATAAGGCGGTGATGTCTGACGTTTCGATACTCCGCGCCTCTCCGCCAGGCGCGTTGCTGTCTTTCTGCCGCCAAGTAACGTCACTGTCGGGCTTTGATATGCTCCTCAAGGTGACGAAGGGTGTATCCACAAGCAGCACATGATCTACAATATCGCCCACGGGTTGTCCGCTCGTACATATGCTTGCAACGCAAAGCCAAATCTGGGTACAATAAAAGGATCGCGAATCCGCAATCCAAAGACAGCTAGTACTACTTCCTGGCGCTTGAAAATGCCTCAACCAACTGCTCTGCCTCTTCAGGGCTGACCCTAGCCTCCAGCATCTGATGCGCGCAATCCACAACGTCATCCTCAATGCCTTGCTCATAGAAGCCGCCCTCACTGAATGCGAGACGGGTGAGAGCGACGAGGAACTTCTTTTCGCCGCCAGGGACCACGGAGAGACGAGCCTGCATATTGACAAGATGAGCGTAGTTGGATGTAAGGTGGTAAAGGAGTCGGGTGGAGGTATTGACGAGAATGATCCTCTGCTCATACCCATACTGGTAATCGTAAACTCGGTCGAGCTCATCGTTCATGACGCGTACCAGGTGGCCGATAACAAGTCGATGTTTCGCAAGCGCTTCACTGCCGTGAATGGTGTTACACATGGCTTCGATCAAACTAAGAACATGGAGACGGACTTCGCATAGCTTGGCGGCATCGGGTGGCTCTTCCCCTGGAGAAGTACGAGGAGTATTGATGAGCAGGTGGGAGAGGTTGTCAATGATATGAGCTTCGGATGCGTCTTGCTGTCCATTGTTCGGAGGAATGATCATAGCGAAGGATTGATCCAAAATGCTTGTATGGAGCATGCTGAGCATAATGTTGATTTCGTCCAGAGGGTTGATGAAGTTGAGGAGCATCATTATGAAATCGAAACGCATAGTGCGCCAGAAGCGTACTATCTCCTCTGTGTCACAAGAGCAGTCTTCCGCCATCGTTTGCATTACCTGAAGACATTCGACGCAGCTAATGTCTGCTCTGTCCTTCCGAGGTGACTCTTTCTTGCAACGGGGCACGAGTATCACATCGGCTGTTGATTGAACCAGACTCATCAGGTGGTTCGTGAGATCCGGTGCTGTCTTTATTGAATTGAGCACGAGTATAAAGTTGACCAGGTCCACGAGGAGATGCACTGGCTGATGCTGAGTTAGACAGTCAGAAATGAAGGAACACCGGTCAAGATAGATGGAAAATGCTTACATATTTCTCCTCCATACATTGTGACCATAATGAGATAACGATCAGACCAAGTGCAGCCGCAAAATTGTCAGAGTCTGGTTTGAAAGTAAGTGTCGACATTTTATCAAGTAGAATGGTGGAGAGAGCTCGGTCTCGGTTTGAAGGGAATGAAAATGTTGCCAGGCGCTCGAATGTCCTTGGCTCCTCAGGTGTGAAGCGACGGTCGAGCAATCTTTGTGTAAGCTTTGGAAGTAGATGTTAGTTTGGCAATCCCAATGCGTTCGCAACTCGTACCTTGAACTTCTGGTCCTGCCGTACTGGAGCAGGCCTTGGTATTTGGTTATTGGCTAACTGAACATGACCTCTCTGAGATCCAGCTGTTTCCTCAAAGGAGTCGATTTGGATTGGTTGCGTGAGATCCAATGGCTTGACAGGGCTGGCTTCTGTGGGCTTCCTTTTCCTTTTTGCCCCGGCTTTAGGGGTATTTGCTTTGGATCTGATGACTAGTCTGGAAGGCGACATGGGCTGGATTTCCTCATCTTCGAAGCCATCTGCAAAGGCCAAAGCTTTGTTCTTTTTCGGAGTTACGGGCTGATTTTCCTTGCCCCTAATCTTCAATTCGGCATCTTTGTCTTCCCCTTTCTTTATAGCTTTCTGTAGGTTTCTGATCTGTTTGCTCCCTTCCGCAAGATCATTTTCAAGGAAGTCTTTCTCCGTAGCGAGCTTCTGAAGCTCTGCTCGTGCCTTTTCTACTTCGATCTTTTGTCGCGCTGCTTCGTCGGCGTGCAGTTTCTGTAGAGCGAGAGTTCGATTCTCAAAATCCTTTTCTATTTTGGTTGCATTGGCTCGCACGATAGCAATTTCGCCAGCCTTGGAATAAGTATTGTCATTGGCATTCTGAATAGCCTGTTGAAGTGCCTCGCGTTCACGTAGCAGCTCAAGAGAAGTTTAAGCAAGCAGCCCCTGTACAAGAGAGTTTTGAGCAAGCTCACCTTCAGGACTTGAGCTTGAAGAGCGTTCACATCCGCACTCTCCTGTGGATGCAGGCCAGGGTTCACCAAATACACAGCCCTTTCTCCTTGGCCTGTAGTGTTCGGACCACCGCAATCGCTACCATTGGATAAGGGCACGCCAAGAGCTCCCTGCTGATTCACACGTTGCTGCGCTTCTATGGGCCCTGATTTACGTTGGTTCGCCGCATATCGCTGTAGTCTCCACTGCTCTCTCTGAGAGTATTCCCCAGGCTTTTTCCCACCAGCACCAGCTTCGTATCTCGCAGCTAGAACAGGTTCCTCTGCAGCGTCAAGGATCTCGCCGTCCAACATCTCCTCATCAAAGTCGCCATAGTCTGACGATGGCGCCTGAAACGCATGTTGGTTAGCAGCATGGCTCGCAGGTCCCCCAGCCGATAGTCGTCCAAGACCACCTGCTAGTGAGGTAGATTGTTTTATGGTAGGAAGCTGGACTTGTGTACTCAGGCTCGGTTGTGGCGTTGATTCAATTGCATTTTTTTGGAGTTGATGAAACGCGTGGTCCGGCAAGGCGTCTAGGTCGTCATCCGAGTAGTCATCATCTTCGCCGCCCTGGTCGTCCATGACACTCGTCGTATATCCGCATTGAGAGGTCTACAAGTTGACCATGTGAGTACTTTGAACATTGAGATATTGACGTGTGAAGGGTACTATACTTTAAGGGTCCACAGCGAGAGCGCGAGAGTGCGGGAAGCGGCGCGGGCTACCTCGAGTAGGGCTAGTACTTGTAGGGCTCGAGTAGAGCTGCAGCGCACGTTTGATGGGCCAGCAGCCCAGCACTGTGACACTGCGTCTTCAACGCCGATAACGCCGATACTTTGATCTTGATATCTCGCAGCAAAACTGAAATTGTGCGGCGTGAGAATATCCCAGTCCGCGCCAGAGAATTGGCGCTCTTCCTCGCCCTCTGCATGCTTCTTTTGCTCAAGGCACCAAAAGCTTGATTTGAGCTTACCCGAACTCGACAGAGTGCGAGCGACGAGCTTCCCGGTCATCTCGCGCCGCGCGTGTGTCTGAAGTGTTGCTTGACCTTAGAGAATACAAGCTGGCCCGTTTATTAGCTGAGCAGTGAGCACCCTCTACAAAGAGCCATGGCCAAGCCAAGGCGCAACGTCCAATTTCAACATAGGGGGAGTAATCACCAGAATGGAAGACGACCCAGCATATCCGAGAGCGAGGGCGTATCCGAGCCAGGTAGCCCAACGAGAGCAAGTCTGAATGGGAAGCTGGAGTCAAGCAAAGAAGAGGTAAACCTTTCTGTGCAGATGGATCACTCTCACCGTGACGGGCCAATCTTATCAAACAATGCTGATGCCCATGCCTTCCTTATAGGATGAGACCGAAATTCCACCGCAATCAGAGTACGAAAAGAAAAAGCAGACCTTCATCACACGGACGATCTGGAGTTTCGTCATGATCGCCGGCTTTTTCACTGCCATGTTTTCAGGTCATCTATATGTGATAGCCATCGTGACGGGTATCCAGATTGTTTCCTTCAAAGAAGTCATTGCCATCGCAAATGTTCCAAGCAGGGCCAAGAACCTACGATTCACGAGATCGCTGAACTGGTACTTCTTGGGGACGACAATGTACTTTCTCTACGGAGAGAGCGTGATATATTACTTCAAGCATATAGTGCTGGTCGACAAGGTTTTACTACCTTTCGCAACCCACCATCGCTTCATCAGCTTCATGCTATATGTCATTGGTACGTCTCCGCTACAGGGGTCATCGTCAGCTGCAGTTGGAGAGGAAATCCGCGATTGACTCCTTTTGCAGGGTTTGTGTTCTTTGTCGGCTCTCTTCAGAAAGGCCACTACCGCTTCCAATTTACCCAGTTCGCCTGGACGCACATGGCCCTCTACTTAATCGTTGTACAAGCCCATTTTATCATGAACAACATTTTCGAGGGGATGATCTGGTTCTTCCTCCCAGCATCCCTCGTAATCACCAACGACATTTTCGCCTACATCTGTGGCATTGCCTTCGGTCGTACCCAGCTCATCAAGCTTTCGCCTAAGAAGACTGTTGAGGGTTTTGTTGGAGCGTGGATCTGTACCATTATCTTCGGATTTGCCATGACGAACGTATTGATGCGGTACAAATACTTCATCTGCCCAGTAAATGTATAACAACCTAGCCCGTACAATGTCATTCCCCCAAACTAATTATCTTTTAGGATCTTGGCGCGAACATATTCACGGGCCTCTCCTGCACCCCAAACCCCGTTTTCATACATCAGGCCTATCATATCCCCTCCTTCCTCACCAACCTCCCTCTCCCAGCCTCCCTCCAAATCCCTTCCACGGTTCACATCGCCCCAATGCAATTTCATATCCTCGTCTTCGCAACATTCGCCTCCCTCATTGCGCCCTTCGGCGGTTTCTTCGCCTCGGGCCTCAAACGTACCTTCAAAGTCAAAGACTTCGGCGAGTCCATTCCGGGCCACGGCGGTATCACCGATCGTATGGACTGCCAATTTATCATGGGTTTCTTTGCTTTCATGTACTACCAGAGCTTCATTGCGATTTACAGGGCTAGCGTGGGGGATGTCATGGAGAGGGCAATCCAGGGATTGGATGCTGAGGAAATGGTGGAAGTGGTGAAGGGTTTGAGCAAGTACATGGTCAATCAGGGTTTTGTGGAAGAGCGGCTCCTCGACTGCCTGACAGGAGTGGTCGGAAAGAGGAAGTGAAGGGAACCTCGAGGAAAATCAATTAACTTATAAGCGACAAATTCCGATGCATATGATCTTTATATCGGGATGGGCATGGACAGCGGGGGCAATAGTAGCCTAACATCTTTAGATTAGATAGTTGGGGCTTTGACATAAATCCTCATGATTCTTATGACAATAGAAATTCACTCATACCAAAACAGCGGTCACTTCATCTAAAGCTATAATTTTGATCCGAAAACGTTCTTTGCAAGCGTCAATGATATATCTCCTCACTGCTCTTACCACTCGGAAGCTGTAACTTGATCTCCGGTCGGAATGTCGAATTTGCAGACTTGTGGGCACATGCCCTCAAGCTAGCTCTGTGCTTCCTGAGGCCGTATCTAACGGCCTCGACGTCTCTTCTTTCGCTTTGAAGCTCGTCCCGGGACCTCGTCCTTAACAATTGGAGGACCTCGTTGGACCAGGACTTGGTGTTCCAGCCGACCATTGCCTTTTCGCTGACCCTCATGCGGCTTGTCCGGTGCATTGCCGCACCATTCTACGGGATCTCCCCTGTAAGGTGTTGCAATGGTGGCCTCGGGTTCGGCTTTGAATGAACGGATGCGTTTCGTCTCTGGAAGTACCTACTCGCATTCCATGGTCAGAGGTCAGGCTCAAATCTAGCCCCAGGGGAAGCTCAGACTCTACGTCTTTCCCTCTCAACCTCGACCTCGACCTCGTACTCTTCTTCTTCCACCTTGAAGAACTCGGCCACAGCATTCTTCTCGTCTCTTGCGCGCTGCGGGTTGAGCATGAAGCGCACCGTGCCCTCCTTCAGCCCAGGCTTCGAGCCGCCATTAGCCGTTGGAGAGGTAATGTCTCTCAAGGATTCATCGCGAGGACTCGTGGTTGGAGTAACGGGTTTCTTAGCTTTCGAGTCCATGATGCCATTTGCCGCTTTGGCGCCATTGGTGATGGACCTCTTCTTGTGACTTTGGAAATGGCGTGGGTACTTGTTGGCCGATGCTTCCTGATTTAGGGCAATTCGGATGCTAATGAAAGTCTCGAGGGCGTGATCTTGGCCGACAATGGTAGATGCTCGATGGTGAGTATACAAGTCCAGGAGGTCAAGCAGCGTCTCTAGAGTTGACATGATTAGATATGGTGTTTTGATAGGAGTGTAGTAAGAGGGCATACCCATGACCTCGGGGCGAGAGATTCTCCATTTTGTATAACCCTTGCCTGCTTCTAATTCCGAAACCGGCTGTTCGCAGATGCGCCCCGATAGTTCCACACATGCAATTGCCATGGTGGCCGTGGTCTGCTTGATGGGAGCGAAGGTGCGATAGAGGTCCAGAGATATGTTATAAGCAGTTTTGCCTACCGTATCTCGGTCTACATGATAATGCTTTGCCATCTTCAGAACCAAATTTTGAGGATAACGATTTCTGAAGTCGAAGCCTGATGCTTCGAGCATGAGACGTTCCAGACCAATGATTGTCTTTGAGTGATTCTCGAACAGCTGTCCATAGTCAGGAAATGGATCGATTTCTCGACTGGACGCACACGTACTTGGTCATCTGGAGTAAGCTGCTCTCCCGGTGTAAGTTTCAGATTGTACGCAGCACAGAGAATTTCCTTTGACTTTTTCAGTGTGTCCTCGATCTTACACGCCGCGAAAAGTGCTGCTGCAGCCGCATCCTACGATGCTATTAGAGGGCAAAATTTACTGGGGGTTTTCTGATACTCACAATGTAACCATTGCTATCAGGATGTACTAGACGGAACTTGTGATAGTACACCGCTGCAGTGTTGTAAGTTCGTACGGGACTATTCATATCAGCTTTTGGGCTTTAGAGAATGCTACCAGTCTTTACTGACAGATGCATAGCTTTTCTCACACTGTCGATCCAGGCCACACCCTGAAGTCGAATACTGTCATCCTTCGCTTCTGATACTCCAGCAACGGTAAGACATTCATGAATTTTGGGTTCGAAGATGTATGGCTTTGCAATTTCGATATAAGACGGGTGAGGACCAACAAGACCATGCTCCATCGGCTCTGCTATCTGAGACGGAGCCATTTCATAATCCAGTGTCGAGAAATCCAGAATCCAGCTTCTCGAGTAGACGACTGTCAATGTTACTGCGGAACGATTGAAGTCTTCTGTGAAACGAGAGTGATTGAAATCTTGAAACTGGAAGAAGTCAATTTAACAAAATCCGGGGAAAAGGCTTGGCAGTACAAGACATATATGCACCCCCACGACCCCCCACTCACCCTAGAACTAATAGGGGGTGATATTGGGGTACAATTCTTTTGTCTTGGCAACATCTCTGTGTTTCTTGGCAGCCGCCACCTTCTTCACCTAAGGGCGACATCTGTGTTTACAGCAGCGTTATCATCTCATCGTATCATGGGCATGGGCATAGATATGGGCATGACTTTTCTCTATCTCTGGGCTCTGTTGCCAATTGCTTGGAGATTTGTGACAGCTTTACCTCCTCCGCAACAGCCCATCTTACCAACGGAGAGCACTCCAATTGCAAGCTCGGCAGAGTCAGCAAACTTGCCCCTGGTGGTTTGGCATGGTCTCGGCGACAAGTGGGTCGGCCTCCTTTCAGCTTGACGTCATTGTACTCATAGATTCTAGCTACAAAGCTGAAGGCCTTCAATCGATTGGGGAGCTACTCAACGACACCATTGGAAACACAACCACATACTATATTCGTCTTGATGGTGATCCTTCCGCCGACCGCACTGCCACTTTCCTGGGAAATGTGACCCTGCAGGTTCAGAAAGTATGCGACGATCTAGCCTCGCATCCGGTACTCTCCAAAGCACCGGCCATCAATGCTCTCGGCTTTTCCCAAGGCGGCCAATTCCTTCGAGCTTACGTTGAGCGCTGCAACAGTCCAAGGGTGGAGAATCTTGTGACCTTTGGAAGCCAGCACAACGGTATCAGTGAGTTTCAAGAATGTGCTACCAACGATTGGTTATGTCAGACCTGGCGCGGTGTCCTGAAAGGCAATGCATGGGGTTCATTTTCGCAAAGTAGACTGGTACCCGCGCAATATTATCGAGACCCTGAGGATTTGGATAATTATTTCGAATACAGCAACTTTCTGGCTGACATAAATAACGAAAGGAAGGTAAAAAATGACACCTATAAAGAAAACATGAAGAAGTTGGGCAGATTCGCCATGTTTATGTTCGCAAATGATACAACGGTCGTCCCTAAGGAGAGTGCATTTTTCAGTGAGGTAAATACTACGAGTGAGGAAGTGACGAAGCTGCAAGAAAGGGACATCTATCAGGAAGATTGGATTGGTCTGCGCTTTCTGGACGAAAAGAGAAGACTCGATTTCAGGATCGCTGAGGGTGGACACATGCAGCTGAGCGACAATATCCTCACAGATGCCTTCAACAGATATTTCAAGTCGCGCAATAAAGGTGGTCTTGACTGATTTAGCGTTAAGGACCAATGGAATGGCTGTTCGTAGTACCTGGCTGCTGTTTAGTTCTGTGAGAAATCTTGTTTCGACGACATTGATTCGACACGCGTGGGTATCATCGTGTATGAGACTTCGTCAGATCATGATTCAAATGCTGAGATCGCTGTCGTCGCCCTCCTGGTCTTTTTGACCTTGGGCTTTGCCACTGAAGTCCTGTCCATGGTCACATCGTTTCCCTCAACACTGTCCCTAGCTTGTCTCTTCTGCTGTCGTAACTTCTCTCGTCTCTCCTTCATTTCCTGACTTAGGTCTTCATCATTCAACTTCTTGACCTTCTTTTGCTTGGGCTCGTCCGCAGTCTCACTTTCACCGTCCACCTTTCTCTTCCCTGCCCCATCTGCATGACCAGCCTCCTTGCCTTCTATCAACTTCCTCTTCCTCTTTCCCTTTTGGGCTGCTTTCGCCTTCGCCTCTGCGGCTTCTTCATCCTCAAGCAAGTAACCCTCGTCTACCCAGAGTTCCTCAGCCAACCAAATTGGCAGCGCCATTGTATTAGGGCCCTTCACATGCGCAGCCCTTACGTTCTTCCATCCCACGAGTTTCCCGGCGAGGCTTGCCATCACAGCTTCGATGTTCGCCGCCAATTGTTCAGGCGTATAAGATGCAAGGCCAACGCGTACTGCGGTGGTAGTCGATGGGGAGAGGTTGATCTGTGCTGTAGAGAGACTGCGTTCAATCTCCTTCGCGAGTAAAGGCGGTGCAGCAATCGATTTGGTGTCGGAAGGTTCCTTACGGACTTTGGTGCTTGGAAGAGCCGCATTCTTTCTCTCCTTTGGCTTCGAGGCTTCGAGGGAGACGGGTATAGGCCGCTTGGCTGTAGTATTATAGAACGTCTTGCCCAGAAATTTGGCTAGATATGTGACGATGCGATCATCGGCAAGGAAAACGTCGTATGAATCACGAAGCTGCCGTCTAGATTCGAACGAGCGGTATTTCGCTTCCAGCTTCTTGATGCTGATAACCTTAGTGATCCGCTTGGACAGTGTGGTGGGAAAAGAAGGATGAGCAATGGCATCTTTGAATTGGCGTTGCGGCTCTGGTGATATTAAACATATCGATGTGTTTGAAGAGGTATGTAGAGAGTGCGGAAGTAGGACTTTGCGAGGTTTCAGGCGCTTTTGGTCGGTCATGAATTTTTTCGTGGTAAGGACAAGCCATATAGGCTCCACGTCCGAGGGAAAAACATCTTCGGAAGAATTTTCCGGTGCAAGGAGATTTTTGGTCCCAGAGACAGTCTCCTTTTTCTGCACTTCGGTCTTGATATGCTTGAGAAGTGCGCTGGAAGCTCTGAGTGTCTGTTCGGCGTTAGGCTTTTTCTACGGAAAAGCTGAAATCGGACTGACCTGGACTTTATCCAGTTGATACGGCGACTCAGATCCGACGTCTGTCGTCAACGCGGTAGACTCTGGCCCCATACCTGCAAAAAATTTGAATTGCACGAACTAAGTTATAGAAAATGGATGTGGATTTTCCTTGCGCAAAAACCGGATCAAAGATTTGCCGAGATCCGAGACTAGGGCTCTCGGACTTAAAACCCTAACCAGAACACACGGAGCATCGAGGAGCACTTCGTGTTATACTCCCTTTTCCCCCTTTCATATTTACCGAGTCGAAGGCCGGATATTTTCGGCGAGACGTCTCCTTCCTTTCCACTATTTAATTGAGGGGCACTGGGATCCCAGGACAAACCATAAGAGAAAGCAAGGGTGGAGCTTAACAATGTGCCTGCGAGAATGTGTCTCATAGAGGAAAGAACTTCAATGCTTTGGTTTCCGAACAATTACGGACTCGATGGGAAAATAGAAGCGTGGTCCTGCTCGTGGCGATTGAGGTCTTTCCGATGTCGTGCCAGGAAAAGACAATAAGCATAGTATATGCAAATAGCCTTGTGAGGACCTTTCTATGGACCTCAATCACTCGATCCGTAGTGGCATGCTATGTTATCTAGGGCAATGGTATTTGGCACGGACAGCTTGTCCATGGGGGCATCAAAACCGATAGCTCTCACTTCATTTCAAGATATTTCGAGGATACCGGATCGCAGTCAACGCAAGGCAGCAAAGGCATGGGACGGCCGTCATATGTGGAAAAAACTTACCCGTGTGTTTTAGAAGTCCAACTTTTGTGAGGAACTAAATGCTAGTGAAGCAATGGAAAACGGATAAGAGATAACGACTTCTACATTGTCAAGGCAAATTCAGTGTGCCCAGGGTATATCCGTATATGAGGCCTTGTACCGTGGCTTCTCGGCACTGTAATGTAATTAATAATCGGCTATCTCGTATCATGTTTATGTTCTTCAACAGGGGTGGCGGCTACAGGTGGCGGTATGTCACCGCATAGCAGGTGAGGGCTAAAGTGTAGTCTAAGAGAACCTTTAGGGCTTCTTTTGACGCGTCGCTGAAAGTCGAGTCTGATCCAAATGGACCTTTGCTTTCCTGATGTGGAGATCCACAACGACTGGCAATTCGGGGCGGGCCAAAGACTGTATCTTGCGGATGTAAAGAAAGGACAATCTGGGGTCCGGTGGCAAACGTAAGGTCTTTTCAAGAACCTCTCTTAGGATGTAACAATCTGAGATTCGTGGAAGGCAAAGGACATTGCTGATTTGACTGGCTTGGCTCCCAATGCAAGACCGCATCGAACGGGGATAGCTAGCTAGATAGCAAGAATGAAAGGAGACAAGGTCGCGCTGAGTAAATTGACATAGCAGCTGAGCTTACAATACGAAACAACCAAGAGATCTGATTTCCGCGGAGAGACTGAGCCCATTTCTGCTCTATATGCATGGCCGCCTGTCAACGTCATTTATAGAGTAATCCATCGACCATCTCAGCAATCGCTAGAGAACTGGTCAATCCGGGACTTTCAATGCCGAGAAGATTGACAAATCCTTCAAACCCCTCCTCTTTTCTAATCACGAAGTCTAAAAAGCCATCCCCATTACCTTTCCAAACAGCGCCTCCCTTTCCTAATTTTGGCCTGATACCGCAGTAATCTAAGCCAACCTTCTCTTTCTGAATCCTTGGTAGATACGTCTCGATCTCTTCGAGAGCGGCTGGTAATCGAGACTCATTTACAGAGAGGTCGTTGGGATCATCAACCCACTCAACGTCTGGACCGAATCGAATCGCGCCCGTCATATCGATGGTCAGATGTGTACCAAGGCCAGCGGCTCCCGTAGTTGGCGCAGGATACACGAGAGTCTTCGGACGGGGCATAGGAGCAGAATAAGAGTAGTACGAGCCCTTGGCATAATACGGCTTAACATGCCGCGCGTGTGGAAGTATACTGTTTGATAAGGACACAGCAGCTAGACCCGCGCTGTTTATCAAAGTATCGGCTGTTATCCATGTCGTCTTCGAAGAAGAAGGACATTTGGTCTGTATTTTCCAGCCTTGAGAGCCCGAAGCAAGAGGCTCGACTGACTCCACACTCGTATAGCATGCCAAGTCACCACCTTTTGACTGGAAATCAGACTCCAGATAGGACATGTAGGTGTGGGAATCTACGATGCCGGTTGTCGGGCTCTCAAGGACGGCTTCTTCGACTCGGACGTCTGGTTCACGGGCATGTGCTTCTGATAAGGGGATGAAATGTATTGGCACGCCGATTGACTTGGCAAAGTCATGTGTCTTGACGAGCTCTTCATGTTGCTGGGCGTTCTGTGAAAGGATCCATTTTTTTGCGTTGCGGTAAGGAATGTTTTGCTTCTCGCAGAGATCGTACATCATCTTTTTGCCTTTGAGACATAGGTGTGTCTTCAGAGAGGTAGGACCGTAGTAGAGGCCGGCGTGAATGACCTGCCATGGCTAAGCTTTGAGGGGTTTTGTAGATGTGTAGAGACCCGCCTCTGAATTGCGACTGCTGGTTTCTGTCCCCACTGCTCCATGCCTCTCTATAAGAAGGGTCGAAGTGCCATCCCGGTCAGCCAGCTTGCGAGCAATAGCAAGACCTACAGCTCCAGCGCCGACCACCTGAAATGTTTTAGTTTCACCTCGAGAAGAGTTTGTTGCGGTGAGCATTGCACCAACCACATGGGTGAAGTCAGCCCTGGGCGTCGAAGAGGTCGAGAAAGGCCGTAGATCGCATTGCATTCGTAACACTCGACACAACGCTCTGGCGAACATGTCAGGAATAGAGAAGAAAAGTTCTCGCAACCACAATACGAGAAAGCTTCAGCATAATTGGTATTTCAAGGCTCTACCAATGCTAGAGTTGTTGGCTTCGAATGACGTTCGTCCTCGGAGATAAGGATCAGTCGACGCTTTACCGGCACGCAGAAGAGGATACATGTGGAATTGGAGACTCATATCACAGCTCATATATATACACACACTCATTTCGCATACATGTTGCTGTAGAATAACTTTCTCGAGAACAGCAGGACACGCCTTCTTCCGAGAAAATCTGCTGCTCTACCCTCTCTAGCAGCCCCAAGCAATACGTTCCAGTCTCGGAAAAGATATAGTCAAATTTTCTAAGCTCAATCGGTCTAGTGGAGGAGTCTGTCACTGCGCACCGCATGCTCAAAGTATAGACATTCGCACCCCAGCGTACTGGGTGTATCTCCTAAGTGTCCCTTGGCTTAATTTCTCCGTCGTGGCAAGCTCATTAATCCACTGCTGAGAGTCAGCTCAAGGTCATAGCTGACGGCAACTTTATACTTCCTCTTGATTTGGCGTTAGTGCTCGTGGTTGTGCTCTGCGAAAGCCGCTCCGGGCCACGCCATCTCCATTCTTCAGTCAAGCATTTCAAGCATGTCTGGGATGCTTGTGAATTTTTCCCGCTCCTTACCCTTTGCTTTCCCCCTTCCCTTTTCCGCTACATCGATCTTCTTCCAATTTTCCCAACTGACAGGTTTCAGATGCCTTGCGGCTGCGTCTTCTTGCAGCGCGTCCCATCCATTTGTACCGGACATGAACGGTTCCTTGTTTTCCCAGTCTTTTGCAATGGATTCCGCTGTGTCGAAGGCGTCTTCCATTGTATTAGCAATCACGCCCGCCGGACCTCGCTTTACCCATCCAGAACAATAGAGGCCCGGAATCCCGGTCCCGTCTTCTGAGAGACTAGTGATACGACCATGTAAATCATTGGGAATGATGCCTCGACACTCATCGAAGTCTATGCCTAAATCTTTCATGCCATTGATGGCTTCTGACTTATAACCAATACTCCGGAACGCCAACGAAGTGGGGTATAATACCTCACTTGTAGTGGGAGAGACGGTAGCCCACGAGTCGAAGACGTCTGGACCATTTACTTTGTTCTTGAGGAATGTGAGAGAAGATAGATTACTAGGTGTTGCACTGGACGCATTGAAAGATCTAGGCGACAGGAGAAAATCCAAAGACCAGGACTTTCGCGCTTGCGAAGCTGGAGTTGATGAGCCCTTAGCTAAGAGCTGAGTGAGACGTTTGGGCGTTCGAGGAAGTTTTGCAGCGTTTGGCGGAAACAGAGCAGGATCAATAGGCTCGAAAGAGACAGAAGGCAGATTCAATAGCTCCCGGACTTCTTTGATAGTAAAGGATGCCTACACGAATTGTCAATCGTGCGGTTTTCTTTGGCATTGATGAGACGGAAGTACACACCTGCATTGGACCCCTTCGACCAACGACACGAAGTCTCTTCACTCTGCTTTTCGACAAAGAATCAAGGGCATAATCTGTCATGTCCGTCTTCCGTAGACTATTGACGTCGCTCAAGAGTGTACGTGCTACATCAAGGGCTACGTTTCCTTGCCCAATGATCACTGCTTCTTCACCCGATTCCAGGTCTGGCGCCAGTGCTTCGTGTTCGGGAAGTCCGTTGTACCAGCCCACAAAGTCGCGCGCTGAGTAGATTCCTTTCAGGTTGTCTTCACCTGAGATTCCAAGTTTCCGGTCCTTGGTGGCACCATAGGCGAAGACGATAGCGTTATAGTGAGGTCTGAGATTTGCCAACGGCAGATCTTTGCCAACCGCAACGTTGCCTATAAAATTGAAGCGCGGTGATGAAGCAACTTCCTCAAATCTATCTTGGCAGTTCTGAGAAAGGATTATCAGAAGTGAACAGTGAGAGCATGAGAGGCAAATAAGAAAATACAGGCGGGTTGAAAAGGCATTTTTACCTTGACTTCTGGATGATCCGGCGCAACGCCAAATCTCACTAGGCCGAAGGGTACGGGCATACACTCATACATATCGATGATAGCATTCTCTATACTTGACATGACCTTATAAGCTGTATAGAAGCCCGCAGGCCCAGATCCAATAACAGCCATGCGAAAAGGCCGGTCATTCCGAACAACATGGCTGCTATGCCGCCTTGAGACGTGTAGCCTCGTAATATGAATATGTGATGGTCTGACCAACAACTTTGAGCACCTGGTACAGATGCTAATAGTTCGAGTGATGGTGCTCATCTAATTAGTGGAGAAAATGAGGGTTCGTTCGTGGAATTTTCAAGTCGCTTACGAGTAAGGTACCTACCTGTACGTAAGGTACTTTACGTAGGTAACCTCGCAGTGCCCACGCGGGTGACAGAAATAAGAACCGTAGCTGAAGGTTCTTGCGAGATAATTTGAGGATCTCATCAATCTACCCGCGTGCCTCGGTAGATAGTGTCGCTACTTTATTTTGAAGCAGCTCGACGTTGCCTCGCCAACACCCGACTCAAGTTCCGGATTCAATATTCGATATCCTTATACATGCAGGTATCTGTCGTATTTTCTATCTGATACTTGCTGAGCACTGTACCAAGTCATGGGTGCTGAGCCGCCCTTCCTCTACGAACATCCTTCGAAATATTCTTTCTCAGCCCCCACCGAGCGAGGCTTCAATCCCAAAGCCATATCGCAAGCGAGCCTGTCTCTACCAACACCAAGATCGAAACCGGATGGCCTTTTGATTAATTCCAAGGAATTTAATCGACATCCGGATTCGTACTTTGTCGCGTAAGTCTTGGGCGCGAGCTTTCAGAAAAAGCACGGTTTTGCTGTCTAGCGTAATTTTTTCTCTGTGCATCAGAAGGCTCCAGGCCGAGTGCTCGAACAAACGACGTGTCCATGGGAAGCATTATCCTTGTAGCATCAGAGCATCTGGCCAAATTCGTTGTCTATGTTTTGAGATCACTTTGAATTTTGTGCCGTCATGAATGCCACTGATGTTTGGCTGCTTGCCCATACTTATGGCGATTTGTCCGTGGCTTTGTCTAATCGTTTGCTAGTCCGTATGGAAACCTGGACTGGAAACCAATGAGTCCGCGTACAAAGTCGAGAGTCAAATCTACGCGAATCACTCAGCTAGTCCTTCGAAATTGCCAGTTGATTGGAGCAGTTGGCATGCTATTTTGTGTCATATGTATCAAAGGGACCGACGCGACCACAGGATGGATTATACGGGTGCCCGTATGTATAACCCCAATGAGGACAAAAGATCAACGTTAATCACGTATTGTATTAGCCCGGAATTGCAATATTGCACACCGTCTATGGTACATATCATCTTTCGCGCTCTGCCAGGGGACGCACACCATCATCTTCGGCCAGTTATATGTTATTTGCAGCCATGATTGACGCCGGATTGACCCCGTTCCTTGTATTTACGGCCTTGATTTCTCACACCCAGTCTATCGAGCCTGTCAATGCCCCAGGTCATTGGTCCACTCTGTTCGCTAGCGACCAGGCTACTACCAGTATCGTGTTCGCCACCTTTGTTACCAGCGTGGTTACCGGGACGTTTCACCTGGTATCTTTAGCGGTATCGATCTATCTTGGGGTCATCTTCCGCAAGATTTCAAGACTTCCTCCGGATATGAACCCTTTAGAGGACAATCTAACGTCTCGGCACAAGCGCAATAAGTCATCTCTTCTCGATAACCGTACGAGCCAAATCTCCATATCAACAGACAAGATCCGAGGACTCAGGGCTGAAGATCCTCTGATGGCCTCCCCGACCGTCCCATTCATGCACACCCGCAACGACTCCTACTCAAACATTACAAACGTCTCCCATCCTAACGCGAGCGCCAGAGCTTCTCGTACTAACCTTTCAACTCCGTTTAACGGTCAGCCACCGGCTCATCGTTCCCCTCATACCAAGATTGGAGGCCCCTTCTATGACCTACCGCTCTCTCAGCGCTCCTCGCGGACCAAGATCCAGAGCCAAAATAATGACCAATTGCGCTCTTCTCGTACCGACTCCCATATCAACACTACTGATGCTCCCCATCTCAACACCAATGACAGTGTCTCTTTGACTGACCTCGCAACTCCTTTCTACGACCAACCGCCTGCTCATCGTTCCTCTCGTACTGAGATTCAAGGCCCTTTCTATGATCAACACTCCCCCTCCCACCAGTCGTCTCGTACCATGTTCCCTGTCCTTTCTCAGGGCGAAAGCCTGGCGAAACAAACCGATCAACCAACAGTAATCTGTTCTCCCGCCAAGTCTTCTTCGCTTTATTCCAACTCTTCCAACCCCGCGAGCCATACCAACCACCCAAATATAATTCGTTCTCCTACTAAATCTTCATCAATCTACTCCACCAGCACCATCACCACAATAGCAACAAGTCGACCTGGATCAACACGTCCGCGGTCCACAGTCCCATCACTTCCCGACAGCAATTGGATTACGCACCCTTCTCCCTCCTCTTCTCCATCCCCATCGCCCCCAAGAGAACTCAAGCACCTTCTCAACAAACCGTCCTACCAGCCACTTTCCCAGATTTCGCCCTTTGAGTACACGACCAACGAGAACTTTCGCCCTCTGCAAATGAACCCACCAACCCCACCGCTCGATCAGCAGAAGCGAAGGGGAGCAGCCGGGGTAGAGAAGGGGCCATTGACGCCGGGAACCGGAAATCCTGGCCAAGGAGGGGGCTGGGCCCCTGGGATGGTTGGGATCGGCAAGGCCAAAGCGTGGGGAGGCATGGGGAGATCTGGGCCTGCAGGAATGGGTGGCGGAGGTAGGGTTGTTAGTAGGAGCGGAGTGGAGGTCAAGGAGAGAGGAATTTTCCCAAGTGGAGGCATCAGAGCACGAGAAGTTAGCGGGAAAGTGATGGAGGAGGGAAGGACAGGGACCGGAGGATGGATGTGAGCTCTAGGGATCGTTTAGCAGAGCGTGCTCATAAATAGGAGGGAGTCCGGGCTGGATAAAGGGTAACATGTCATTGTTTTACAGGTGAAAGTCTAGCGTACAGCATGCATGTGGTAACTACTCGGTACAATCCTTAAACACATGTTCACTCATCTTGTTTCAACTCCATTCCTCATTCTCTGCATCCCCAGCTTCATTATTGTCGAAGCCTTTCTCCATCTGCTCCTCCTTCCCATCATCATCTTCTCGGTCCATCTCTTCTTCTTGCTCCCTCACGCCTTTAACCCATCTCCCCCATTCAACCTTTCTCCCTGCCTCCACTCCCGCTAGCCCACCACCCTCTTTCCACCCCTCCCACTCTTTCAACCCATAGACGTGCCTCATAGTCGGCCTTCCATGCGGACAATTCCACGGCTTGTCAATTTCTCCCATTTTCCTCACCAACGCGCCCATCTGCTTCGGCGTGAGAGTCTTTCCTATCATGACACTACTACGGCAAGCGCGCATGGCGAACATGCGTCGCACTTTGGTCGGCCGTGGAACGCTTTCTGATGAGGAAGAGGAAGGATTATCGGCAAGCAGAGCGATAAGTTCTTCCAGGTCGGTAACGTCAAAGGTGACCTCTCGGCTCATCGGGAGGGACATGAGCTTACAGCGACGGCCGACTTCTTCATCGCCGCTGATGTCAATTTCGACCTGGAAACCGTTCTTTAGCAAAGTGTTATTGTTGTCGAGGATTATTTCCTCTTCGATGGCGGTGAGATCGAGTTTGTGTGGATGAACTAGGCGTTGATTTTGGACAATGGTTTTGGCCTGAAGACGCTCGAAGTTGTACTTCTCGTCTGAGGCGTGTTGGTCGATTATGAAGAGATCAGAATTGGGCGAACAGGGAGAGGGGTCACGGACAGCTAGAATGAAGCCGAGATTGAACTGGCCTGTAATATGCATGTGCGCGAAGTCGGCTTTTGATACGGTTAGCGACAACCTCTCTTCAGCAGATGTGTCCTCCGTGGGAGCTGTAGGATTTGGCGAGAAGCCATAATCGGCGGGTGCTTGCAAAGCGGTCTCCAGGGTCTTCAGTTGCTGATCAATTCTCTCTACGGACTCGTCGATCATCTGCATGAGCTGCGTAGTGGAGTCCTTTTGCCCGCGACCTCTCAATATCTGGTTTACACGTCTGATGTTGTCCTCGGAGGGCATAGCTGCCTTTTCCTCGGCTTGTTTGATCAGATCGGCGACCGTCGCTTCTTCTCGAGCTTTCTTACCCTCATCATCCAGGTAGTCATCATCAGATTCAGCCTCCGCGAGAGGCGTCTCCAGGGTTTCATTGGCACGACCACCTGGGGACTCGGCCGGGCTTTCGTCATCATCTTCAGACGTTGTCAATGCTCCTGGACTTAGGTCCGTCACACGAGATTCGTCTTCATTGTCACTAGCACTGCCAAGGTACGGCCGAGACACCCGTGATTTGCTTTGTGGTCTACCAACCGACTTGATTAGCTCAGAGCCGGGAGCAGCAAAGGCTCTCATGCTGCTACTGAATTTCTTTCGCGCTGGATCATCAGCGAAGCCCGTGGGTCTAATTGGAGTGGCTGTTGTCGAATCGAGCTTTCGCCGTTTGGAGGAGGAGGATGGTCCGAGAACAGAAGTGGTAGTCTTTGAGCCAATGGTTATCGTTGCAACTTCTGGAGGATTACGCCGGGGGCGCATTCGGTCAAAGGCGTTTTGCACTACTCCTGAAGAGTGTTCCGTCTCTGACTTACTTCCCGTTGGTGAAGATGCTTGGGACTCCTCGCGCGAAAGACATCCCATTGGGGTTGGAGTCTCAATCGAATCAGGCTGCTGCTCGGCAATCCTCCGATTGAAGTCTTCCACTGGTCTCGCAAGACCATTCAGCATGGCATCAGATTTCGCCAGATCCCGAGCATCATCATAGTCTGCAGGCTCGTGTGATTGCTCCTTCTCTCGACCAAGTTTCTTTACGAGCTTTTGCTTGTCTTTGGACAACATTTTCGTCCTATTCGATGCCCCTGGAGCTGAGGTGGCCTTGATAGCACGCTCTCTGCTGTCACGGCCTGCAAAGCTCTCAATCAGACTTGGCACACCGTCATCTTTGGCTGGCTCTTCCTTCTCACTCGATACCTCATACTCGCTATCATCCGAAATTTGAAGCTCCGGGGGGTGTAACGCGTGGTTCCCAGGCGTATGTGTGTCATCAACGCTTGAGGTTCCCCGACGGCCCGTAAGGTTTTTAAAGGTCTGACCCGACTTTTGAGACTGTGGTACAGTCTGATCCTGTTTCTCGAAAAGCGCGGTCAGAGAAACCTGCAGCGGTCAGCTCGCTATTCCCAAGAATCTAAAACGTCTACAAACCCTAATGGACTCCAATAAACTAGTCTGATCATGCAACAGAATCGTCCTCTTGTCGGGCGAAACGTTCACATCGTACGCATCTGGGATCATTAAAAAAAAATCTATGGTGTTTCCAGGGCCACGTACTAGTGTCTAACGATAGGTTCGCAAAAATGAATGGCGACTGCGAAGCATTGTAGGCCTTGTAGACTTCGTTGAAGATTTTGGCAACTTGAGGAAGTCCACAAGGCCTTGAATTGACGAAGAACATCTGGCGGTCAGGTGCCTGCCGACCTTCGCCAAAGGTGGGTCTTGAAACATGGCCAATTACTTGCACTTGCTTGTTTCTTGGCAGTCAGATTCTCGTTTCTCCATGTGTAGTATGGGTACTCACTCGGAATTAGACGCTGGTTCTTGGGTCTTGGTAGGCTGTAGCTCGAAGCTGAGATTCATAGCAACCAGCGCGGGCAATGCTTTTGTACCGAAGACAGTCGCGATGTTCTCTCTGGTTGTCTGGTTCGACTTTGTCGCGAAAATTACCGCTCTCTTGCCTTTTGCCATGACATTGCTGACGGAGATCCGCGCTTGCGTACTAATGCAAGCACACGCCTGGAGAATACCGAGAACTTTACCATATTCCCTCTTAATGTTCTTCTCAAGCTCCCTTCTCCGAACTGGCAGGCTCACGAAAAGATCCTCAACAGCAACAGTAGTACCTTTCTGGCTTGCTACTACTTGAGTACTCTTCAGTTGGCCAGACACCTCGAAGTCGAGCCTCGTGCCCTTTGGAGCTTCATCTGCACGGGCAGTGGTGACATGAAACTTGGAGAGAGCGCAAAGAGAGGAAAGAGCTTCGCCTCGGAAGCCGAACGTTTGCAAAGAAGAAAGATCGTCGTAGCTAGAGAGCTTGGAGGTGTAATGCTTCAAGGCGATGGTCTGGTAATTCTCGCTGACAATGCCACTACCGTTGTCTTGAACCTCGATGGAGTCAAGACCATTGTTTTTGAAGCGGATATCGATCGAAGTAGCTCCAGCATCGAGACTGTTCTCAACCAGTTCCTTCACCACCGAACACAGGTCTACAATGACTTGGCCAGATTGGATTTGGTGAACAGTACGACCCTCAAGAGCCTTGATCGTTGCCATATCATGCCATTTTGACAGGACACGGACGCTTCTGCTAAAGTAATGGAACGCGTCTACCAGCGTGTGATTTTTGGGTGTAAAGGATTCTTGCAGGCGAGATTGGCTTGCTTGCTTGAGTTTTGAAACCTCTCAGGCGCAAGGAGATGAAGGAAGCATCCTTAAAGACCAACTCATTTTCGAATCCAACAACTCCATGATGAGTATTTGGAGGGGATGAAGACCAAGTGAAATGACAAGAGCCTAAAATAGCTCCCCTGCTGTTCAAATATGCTTAGAGTGCTTTTAATTGCTTTTGAAATGCTTTAATAAGTGCAGGGCGGCAGATCATCCCTTTTATCTATATCGCGATTTGCCCCTGGGGCCCTGGGCATATTTTCTCCCTCCAAGCCAAATCCTCACGCCCACGCCCACGCCCACGACGTAAACCCATGCTATCCTTCAACCATTTGTACTTTTACGTGTAATCTGCTTCTGCCTCTGCTTCTGCTTCTGCTTCTGCCTTTACCCAACCTAATAATGCCAGCGCGTTCATTTGTATAAGCAACTTTAATTTAATCCTCGCTCCTTAATCAACTATCGCGTCCCGGGAAAACACCACGAACACCACGAACAACACTCAACACACTCTTCTTCGCCAACACCTTCCGACTACCTCCTTGCGGTACCAAGCGCTTCCAACTCCATTCTTCCACTCTACATCCCCCACAACCGCAACCACGGCTTCGGTATCAGTACCCCTCATCTACAGACACTCCCCCTTGGATCCCACACTTCCATTGCCTTCTACACATCAGATCCCGGATCTGCCAGCCTTTAAAACGGCTCCTGCAGCAGATATTCGGGCGCCTTCGCCATCGTCCAGCCTCAACCACGACTCCTCTCGGCGGTCCTCGGCCTCAACACAGCAACGTTCCCACCAAGCAAATCTCCACCTCGAACTTCCTGCTCTAGTCACCCTGGCTTCAGTCGCCTCTGTTCCGTCGCCGCATCTCCGGTAACTACCCCATTACGCAACGCACCCTATATTCTAACGCTTCCCCCTTGGCTGCATTTTCTGGCTTCACCCCCGTGAGTGGGCGCTTAGTCTTGAGCGCCGAACAATTACACGTGGTTGAGATTGGACAAGACTGAGGCTGACCGCTGGATGCTGATAGGGCGTACAATGATGTCTCCCAAACCATGAGCTATGCTACATCGTTACCTGCTGCGACTACAGGTCAAGGCAACGTCCCTGTGAGTATCTTCAGCTGGTTTACTTAGGATAGTTCCCCTCACGACCCCTCGCGTGCAAGAATCTGAGCGCGAAGAAGACCGACGTGTTTTTCAGATGTATGGCATGATCTCTATCAGAGTATTTCACAAGTTCGGCTTTGCGACCACGTTTTTGGATTGCTGGCGGGCCACAGATCCCTTTCTGCGCGCTAAAAGAGCTTATTACTTATCGCTTATCGGGCTTCGTTCTTCTCTGTTTTCAACGCTTTGAAAAAACGTTCCGGGCTGAAGTGAAGTGAAGAGGTCGAGGACTAATTCGAGAGCGGCGAAAATTGTGGTTGCGGGTATTTGTGTGAAATATGGCAACATTTGCTGACCGTGAGCCTGGGAACCTACAGCCAGTATGCCAGAACTGTACTACGTCTACAACACCTCTCTGGCGACGCGACGAGATGGGATCCGTCCTCTGCAATGCATGTGGCCTCTTCCTCAAGCTTCATGGTACGCCTCGGCCTATATCCCTCAAAACAGATGTAATCAAGAGTCGCAATCGTGTCAAAACCGCAGGTCAGGGGCAGAAGCGAAAGGTAAGCACATTCGAAGTGCGCAAAGAAATATACTAACAAAGGTGATGAAGTCGCTGTTTGACGGTAACGGCTTGCCCACGTCTCAATCAGAGGGTACTCCTCCTCCAAATTATCCAAATTATGCCAACAATCAGCGAGTGACCCACAATTCTGGGTCCGACCGATCAAATTCTCCGGTCTCGCACAACGAAACCCCCGCTCATCCTTCCAACATCGCTCCTCAACATATCTTCGACGGTGTCTCGTCAGCGGAGCATGCATTCCAGTCTCCCGCAATACCTGCGTTTCAGCTGCGTCATCCTTCGCCAGGCTCCACGTCATCTTTCAATGACCGCAACTTAGAACCCCCACAGACATACGAAGGGCTACTACAAGCGAATACCTTTCTGAAGACGCGGGTGAGCGAATTGGAGGTCATCAACGACCTATACAAGGGCACGGTCAATCAGTATGAACAAGGTGGCGCCCCACAAGCGGAGATGCTTCCCAAAGACTCCGAGAGCCAGCTGCGTCAGTCTTTAGACCAGGCGCTGCACCGGGAAGAGGACTTGAAGCGCCAGGTTGACGAGCTTGAGCGTGAGGTTGCGGAATTACGAGGCGAGCAGCCGGAATCACGACCTGCCAAGAGAAGTCGCATCTCAGACTCCTCGGAGTACCCAGAGCCGCCTCAAGCCTTCACCAACGGGTTGCACGCCTAACCTTACCAACACGCCCATTCTGGACTGTTACCAGTATTGACCATTCCGCTTTTTGATGATATCAGACGATGAACGCCTTCTGCAACTGTTAGAATCTCACATCCAAAAGGGACATGTGAGCTGCAGCACACCTTAATGTTAATCTTCGACCTCGGCTTTTCTTTTGTTCGAAGTCTACGGACACCTGTACCATTATCACGATTTTCATTCAATTCATGTTGTCCAGCATCGATTAAAAGTTTATGATCAAGAATGCGAGTTTTAATACCCTTCCGTTAGGCGTTTACATGTACTTTACTCGTACGACGGTGCCGTTTAATAGGTGGCAATCTATGCTGAGAGCCAAAGGCCTACGGACTTGAGAAACACATGACATCAATACACACACACACATCTGAAGAGGCCTGTTTCTAGATTTGAGACATCACCACCAGATTGAAGTAAGTTCGTGTTTTGAGAAATGTGATATATCGACTGATGAGAGCCTCCTCGCATCCGTTCACATTGACTGCCTATACTATGTACGTAACAACCTAGTACCGATGATGAACCCATAAACACCATCCGATGTTAACCCCTGGCAGCCAATGCCCACGCACACCCTGGCAACAGCTCCGCAAAAAATGCCCATATCTGGAGCAAAGCTACTGTGCTCCTCTTAATAGCCAAAGCGGTCCGGCATCGTAACCGGCGCCACCAGACTCCATGTGTAAATGCCATACGCCACCCATGCGCTCACAATCTTCACCCAACTAGCCCAATATGTCCTCCCAACAGCTGCAAAGTCACCAGCGTTCTCGAAATCGATGTTTTGCGTGAGTAAGGTAGCAACCCAGCATGTAGCCAGCAGGAAGATGACGTGGAAAAGGGAGTAGTTGTATTGCGTGCCTCGTCTTTCATCGTCTTTACCGCCGTGGCCGTCATTGGACTCTTCGTCTTCGTCATCGTCGTCAAGAGCATTAGCAGGCAGACTGCCAGCTTCGACCGCAGCACGGAGGGCTTCGGCGCGCATTTCGCGGCGAGATGCAGAGGGCTGAGTGTCGACGAGACCATGCTCTGCGGCCTCTTCTGAACCAAGCTTGCTGTATGAGTGGCTAGTTTGGCTACCTAGAGCAATACCCTGAGTGGCAGCACGGGTAGTGGTGTAGGCGATTGTAAGCATGGTAACGATCGCGCCGATGACGATTGACGCTGTGCGAGTGCCACTAGCACGGATGAGAGGATTGCAGTGGTGGTCATCGGGCTCCATGGATACGGCGGACATAGTAAGGTAGGTGCAGTAGACGGCAACCATAGCGGACTGTGCGAGGCCAGCCTGGGGGTTATATTCTTGAATCACGGGGTGGACCGAAATGGCGGAGATTATGAGCAGGACGATGAGGTTCACCTAGACGCTTATTAGCGGTAGCATGGTTTGTAAGATTATACATCAACGTACGGTAATTGCGGCTTGATTCATTGCGCAGCCACTGTTTGCGAAGAAAATATACATGACGATGGTCATGGCGAACGACATGGTATACATGCCAAGCGTCGATCCAATGAGAACGCCCCTCCATGCCTTCGAATCATAGTTTTCGATCTTCTCCAAACAGAATTCAGCCCAAGTGTGGGCAAGATCGACTAGAAGGATGAGTCCCAGGAGCACAAACATCATGGCTCCGGCCAATGCGAAGTATTTGCCCCAGACTTGGAAGAAAGCCTCGGGAATGAAGAAGGTCATGACAACGAAAGCCAGCCAGATGATGATCTTAGGCCCCCAGTAACCGTTTTGTAATGCAGCTCGTCCATCCCTAGAAGATTTGACACCGAGCAGCAGGATTGCAAGAGCGAAGTGGAATAGACCGAGAGCAAAGTTGACCCGCTGGACAGCGACGAAACCATAGCACTGCTTTCCTTGACAGGTTATCGCCATGTAGTCCAAAGTCAGATGTTCCAGCTTCTTGAGGGCCCATGGTGTGAGCATGAGCCAAGATATTATTGAATTGAGTAAAAGGATGACTGCGTAGGCGATGCGAGTGGCCATGCTTGTCTCCTGTTAGCTATACATCCTCGCAACGGCCCAAAGGATATCTACCTGCTCTGAAATTTCCCACAGGAACTGCATACTGCAGAACAAGTGGCTGCTCCGCAACAGGAGGCTCCAAAGGTCATCAGCTACAGATAGGTCAGTCAGTACGAATGGTTGAGGCAACGCCCGCCGGAACAAAAGCAGCGGGGCCAACTCACCGTCCCAAGACTCGGGACAGCCAAGAGCGGAAGGGAGAGTAAAGCCCCCATGGTGTCCACCAAGGCACTTTCTTCTCGCGATTTCGAGGTTGAAGGCGATACGGCGGAGGTGTATGACAATATTCGTGTTTGATGCGACCAGTGGGACGTGCTCGATGTATTCTAGGGTAGGCGCTAAAGTCAACCAATCCCGAGCGGTTGGGTATGATATCATTCTCTTGGCACTGATAAGCTGTCCACCAGCGTATCGGTTGTTGATCCTGACCATACTCTGTATGCAATTTGTGTCCGTCCAAATTGATTAATTCATCCTTGTATCCTTGTATGCAGATATGATGCTACTTGCTTCGCCATCGTGAAGAGGTGGTGACGAGCAATCACCGTCTCTCAAAGACCTTCTGCCCGCCTAGCCAATTACAAATTACTACTACAATGTCAGGAAACAGGTTGAGGACAGCGAGAGTACTATCAGTGATTGCAGCCACTCTTATATCACTGGCATGCGGGACTAATGTGGATATGCCAGCAACATTTGTCTTTGTGTAACACGCTGACCGCATGGACAGTATGCGTACTCGGCATGGGCACCAGCATTTGCAGAAAAGTTGAAGCTCTCCTCAACCCAGAGCAATTTGATTGTGGGCCATCTTCTTTGAAAAAGCGTTAGACATGCATCTCATGTCTCGCAGGGTACATTCGGCAATCTGGGCATGTACAGCGCCGGCATCCCGATAGGTCTACTGGTTGATACAAGAGGTCCTCGGCCAGGCGCTCTCTTGGGTGCCGTGTCGTTGGGAGTGGGCTACTTCTCGCTATATAGAGGTATGGAGCCCTATGCGGCCCAAAAGGTCAGGTTTTTGACATCGCCACAGCATATGATGGAGGTCCTGGTTCAATATCGTTGCCGTGGCTATGTTTCTTCGCTTTTCTGACAGGCGTGGGGGGTTGCGCTTCTTTCGCAGGCGCTGTCAAGACATGTAAGGCTTCCTACGTCAACACGGTCGCCGGAAACTCACAGTTTCAGCCGCTTTGAATTGGCCGGATCACCGTGGTGCCGCGACCGCCTTTCCCCTATCAGCCTTCGGCCTGAGCGCCTTTGTCTTCGCATCCGTATCGTCCTTAGCCTTCCCGGACAATACTCTAGATCTGCTCCTCTTGTTAGCGATCGCTACGTTCACGATCCCTTTCATCGGTAGTTTCCTCCTTCGCATTGTGCCAGTCCCGCAGTCTTATGATCCTCTGCCCGGCTCACTCGAACGAAGCGGCTCGGATGCCTCAACATTACTTCAACGTTCCAAATCTGAAGACAGCAGGCACATCGTCCGTCACTTGTCTCATGAACCAGGTACGCAACCTGAGTCTATCAAATTTCATGAAGATGCACCCAAGGATCCTTCAAGTTTTAATCGACATGAAGTCCCTAGCCAAGGCACAGAAGAGACCACATCTTTGTTGTCTAAGTCTTCTGGGTCGTGTCCCGGCGATATACCTTATGAGGAAGGCGGGGCAAAAATTGCAACGGATCATGACTCACACGATGTAGATATACGAGGTTTAGCGATGCTTTCACACACGAAGTTCTACCTACTATGGGTGTTAATGGGCCTATTGACAGGCTTGGGCATAATGACGATCAAGCAAGTAAATCGCTGTTTCCATCTTGGAGGGATGTCACACTAACAAGCTGCTCAGCAATATCGGAAGCGATGTAAATCTTCCTAATTTCTTGTTGTTTCGTTGAACATTCTCACCTATTTTACAGGCTAGAGCGCTATGGCATCATTACGACGACAGTGCCTCCTCAGAATTCGTACAAGAACGACAATTGATGCATGTCGAGATCCTCTCCTTCATGAGTTTTTGTGGACGGCTCACCAGCGGTACGTCAATGCTGCGTACTCCCGAAACCCAACGCTAATTTCATCTGCCCAGGTATTGGTTCCGATATCATTGTCAGGAAGCTGGGAATGAGCCGTTTTTGGTGCCTCTTTATATCCAGCACAATTTTTCTTTTCGCCCAAGTTTGCGGGACCCAAATAGATAATCCTCACCTTCTTGGCTTCTTGTCTGGTTTGACCGGCCTAGCCTACGGTTTCCTCTTCGGCGTCTACCCAGCACTCGTAGCAGAAACCTTCGGCGTGAATGGCTTCAGTCAAAACTGGGGCAGCATGACGCTTGCGCCTATTGTCTTCGGTAACATCTTCAATCTGGTCTACGGCCACATCTATGACCGGCATTCGATCATCCTACCTGGCGGGCAGCGAGATTGCAAAGACGGGTTGTACTGTTATCGTAACGCGTACTTTGTCACGCTGGGGGCAAGCTTGGTTGGCGTGGGAATAAGCCTTTGGAGTATACACCACGACTGGATCGCAAACTTGAAGAAGCGTAAAGAGAGGGAGAGAGCACGTGAGGCTTGATACGTGCATGAGGCCCTCCAACACATGCCGAGTGGTCTTATTGAAAAGATGATGATAGATGATAGATATTTGACGTTTACAAAGCATTATGGCTGCCGCTATTTGTGCCCGGGAGTCTCGTATACCAGACAGATTCAAGTTTCGGTTGAGGCGGCTCGACACTGATCTCAACACCAACACAGATAGGGAGGCAGCCAGACTACGATGAAACGGTTCCGAGGTATGCGGCCGGAAAAGATGACAAATTTAGCGTAGCTGGGTGAACATGGCCTGTTTGTTCAACCGAACCGTCATAGATGCGAGGAACCTGGAATATCGTCCCCCAGTCTTTTTCCGACATCGTCAGCTACCGCCAACATGCCGTTGTATGACATGAGCACTTCCGTCTCCATTCGCCCTCCATCCTCTCCAGGTATATGGATCACGCGGGTCCCTGTGACCTTCCCTACTAACTCCTGTACCCGATCGTTCCACAAAATCTGCCTGATCCTTCCTCCTTTTCCCTCCTGCACTTCCTTGCTGTCTCCAGCCTCTGTTTCAACCTCGTCTCCACTTCCCTTCCTGTCCTTCTTGGCATCGTCAAGATCCTCAATCATGATCCAGACCACGGCCCTCTTCGACCTCCTCAGAGCATCTCTCACCCCACGCGTAACTTCCCTCTTCGCACACAACAGCCCGATCGTATCTTCTCCCCTCCATTCACCCGGCGCGCCAGCAAGGGTCCCTTCAAGCTCCCTGATCATCTCCGGGCTAGCCTTTCGCGCTACAGCTTTGCACTGCACCACCACGTTTAGGGGTGGGGACTTGGTGTACTGCAGAGACAATGGCAGCCATTTTCCCAGTAGATCAATACCCTTGTCATCAGGACCGCCTGTGCGGGTCAGATCTCGGAATTCAAGGCGCGGGAGTGTCCTGGCGCATAGATGCTCGTATGACGTGCCGATGTGCACCGTCGAAAAGGGCTTGGAATGAGCATGTGTGCGACACGTAAGTAGGTCACGGTGACGTGGCGGGCAGCCAGAGAGATGAAACGTGGTCCGGCTTGATCTGTACGGGGTTGGACCTCGGTAGGGACTGCGAATCAGGGAACGGTGGACTGACATTACGATCCGAAACTGTCAAATATGACGCATCTTCGTAGGCCGTCCATGGCGCTTGAAAAGAATGAGCAATTTGAGCTACGCGCGAAGCTTTGCGTTGTGTAGTATATTCGTGTAGTCAAGAGTTCATGACGCTCTCGAACGCACGTCTTCTAGTGCTACTCGTAGTGGCCAATTGCCAATTGGGGGTCCACTTCGATTTGGATACCCGTGTGGAGCATTATGTTCCTTTGCAATTGCACAAAGGATACACAATCATGATTTCGAATTGTGTAGATCGATATAGGATCGACGAGTGGTATTGACTACATATGCTTGTAAATACGGAGAAGAAACATCCCATTGTGCGAACATTGGCATGAAGACGTAAATTGAACGCCACCTCCTTTCCATCCAGGGCTCCAAATACTGTACATTTAACGGCCTACAGCCAAGCCCCCTCGCCATACCTATTCGCTCCGTTTATCAGCCCTCTCACCGATCAGAAACCCGAACCAGCCGGGCCGCTTGCTTCCAATGTTATCTGCTCAAATTTCTCGTCAAATTCGCTGTTTGTGCCGTCTCGGCTGATTCGTGGACTGGTCGAGATGACACTGCTGTTAGAGGTGAACTCGGCGTCGACCGGAATAGATTGAAACCCGTTGACCACAGCGCTTCTCTCGAAGCTATCCCCTGCGTCGTCATACGAGGGTGGTAGGCTACCCTCACTCTCGTACCCCGGGAGAGTGGAGACGCTCCTCCGCCGTTCGGAGCCTTCGGCCTCGTACACGAAGTCATGCCTCCCTTCTTCGGCAGCCGTAATGCTGCTCACGACCCGGTGGGCGTTTCTGAGTGCCCTAATGTCGTCGGCCATAGCATCTTCCAGAACGGCCTCTTGTGCGATCACACGTGTCCGTTTCTCATCCCAGCTAATTGCTGCCTGAGGCGCGAAGCCGTACCTCAAACGGAGAGCTTTGAACTTAAGATGAACGCTCCGAAGCCAGTTCTCGAATGCTTGCTTCTGCGCAGCCCTACGATACATTCGCTTGGTTCTGCGTTCCTCCCTGCGAGCGGCACAGTCAACACGGTGACGAGGGTCTCGACAACGTAGGAGGAGCCATGCAAGACACGACAGGACTATGAGTCCCAAGCCAAATGATTTAAGGAGGTGGGTGTTAATATTGGGTTGAGAGGGAAGAGCTGTTGTTATGGGGCTTGTCGATGTCTGCAGAGCTTCCGTCGATATAAAAGATCGCGTTTCCGCTGCGGACAGATTGGGTGTGGTGCTCGTTGAACTGGAAGCCTCAGCTGTGGAAACTGATTCCTCGTAGGATAGGGGAGGTGGCTCCAGTAGTCGGTCAGTGGAAATCTTAGAATGTTCTACCGAGACGGCCTTCACTTCGCTAGGCTTTCCCTTGCTCTTGTGACACCAGATACCAGCTACCTTCTTCATGCCCTTTTTCAAGGAACCTTTGATGGCAGTCAGTTCAGCCCCGAGGCTCTTTTGGCCTTGACTCAAAATTTCATACAAGACTGAATCATTCTTTCCTGCATTTGCCATAATATCCGGATCGAAATCTACGGACGGCCTCCGCCATTGGTTGGCGAGCACAGGATCAAGAGCGAAATTAGCTGGTTGGTATCTCGGAAAGAAGCGCAGGATTGCCGGATGGCCAATCTGTTTGTACGAGACCGTAAATCCACGACGGGCTGGGTTGACGAAATGGATACTGAGGACATGGACGACATCTTCTCCGACGGAATTGCTTCCATCGGTTGGCACAGCGTCGTAAAGGCAGCTAATGTGCCATGTGGCTTCGCTTCCACCGTAGATGTCGAGGTAATCGTGACCTTCGGCAGTCGTCCCTTCCCACTTGGCCTCCAGCTCTTGACCATTAAGCTTGACATTGCTCTCTCCACATGCCTTTTCCGTACCCTGGACCTGGAATGTGACGATCTATACGCTATTGGTAAATGCTCTTTAAGACTCGGTACATTGTGCATCATACTGGATCAATTGGCTCGCCAGATCTGGCACCGAATTCTAGTAGAGCTTCATAAGGATCTAAAGGAAAATTAGTATGCTTAGTCAATCAGAAACGTCAGGGCTTTATAGAGGTTGCCTTACGATATTGGATCACGGCATCTGATGACGGAGTGCTCAGGGAACCCGATTCAGGAATGACTAAAGCCGAAGCCCAAGTCGATGACAGCAAAGCTGCCGCCTTGGTGAAGCCGCGCATGCTGGTGGCGACAACGGCTCGAAGTCGCCTCTCGAGAGGAGGGGATTGTAGTATTGAACCTTTTGTTGTTGAAGTCAGCAGGCTCGGGCAGGCAACAACTCAGCTGCACCACCTTGCCAAGAGCTAAGCCCTGTTTGATTTCTTGGCAGGGCTGATCAATCGCGTCCGAAGGGTCCAGCAGTCCAGCACTAAGGGTAGCGCGGAGCTTCAACCGCGCCTCTCGAATATTGTAAATGACCGTAGATACCTAGTGTCGATCCTGCAGCTTTCGCATTTCCCCCATTTAAATCAAGGCCAACCATGGTAAGTCGAGCTCGATATTGGACATACCGGTACTGTATGCTGACTTCGGTGCGACTCAGCTGCCGTTAGGTCTTCTCAATGCAGCCCAGGGTCACCCTATGCTCGTCGAGCTAAAGAACGGAGAGACGCTCAACGGTCACTTGATCAGTTGCGATACGTGGATGAACCTTACGCTCAAGGAAGTGGTCCAAACAAGCCCAGACGGCGATAAATTTTTCAGACTACCAGAGGTCTATGTGAGGGGGAATAATGTATATCACTCCCCTCGTTGATGTGAAAGAACAATGTGGGCTGACTTTGGTGGTAGATCAAATACTTGCGAGTACCGGACGAGATCATCGATCTGGTCAAAGACCAACAGCAAAACCAGCCATCGAGTCGCGCCAGAGGTGGCGGTGCCCTGAGAGGTGATCACGGGGGAAGAGGAGACAGAGGAAGGGGTGGGGTAAGAGGAGCTCGTGGAAGAGGCAGAGGCAGAGGTTGAGGCTGTGAATTGTGCTGCAAATCAAATATATGGGGTGGCCTTTCCTATGAGCTCTACATGGTCGAGCAATGGGCATGTTCAAGAGTCCATCCGACGTTTGCCATTACCACCTACACAGGTTTCGAGCAGAGCTTCGTTGTCGTAGAAGTATTGAGTGACCCGGACGGATGAGGAAGCATGGTCCCCCCGTTCTTGGATGTACCTCAAATCGGTTACAAAGTATGATGCAGGAAGAAAGGAGACACTTTTGGAAATGCCGTGGTCACAAATCGAAAGCTCGGTAACATCGAAGTAGACGACACCAGCGATAGAGATCCTCGTATCCTCCCTCTGGGTTATGGACATGGACTGCAATGAGAGACTGCGAATACCTCAGAATCCATGTTCGATCAATTCTTGTCTATCGACAACGAGAGGATTGATCGCAAGTTCTTCCGTGTAATTGTTGCTTCCCTCTGTTAGTACTACAATATTATAGTTGAGACGTTAGCATGTTTTTGCTTCTTGTTGTTTCATCTCGCATGCTATCTTGCTTTCATTGCGATATTTCTTGGAACCCACGAGATTGCTATTTGCTACAAGCAAAGATGGCCACTGCGACTGCTCAGAGCCACCTGAGTGCAACTCTTTCAACCTCTTCTGATCATTTCATTACCACTTATTGACCAGATCGAGATTTCAAATCTCGGGCGGGTAACATACCGTATTTGCGTGATTGCTGTGAAGTCTAAAGTCAATCATCTCTGCGCATTCTCAGAGAGCATCGAGAAGCAGACGAGTGGCCTAGGTACATAACAAGAGGGATCGCTATTTACGCACATTCCTCATTCGCAATTGGGGAAGGGAAAAGTTATCGGTTGGGTTCCGGATTGGGTGCAAGGTCTAGGTCCTCGGTGCTCTCTGTTGTCTCCAGGACAGACATGATTGTGCTCTCCAGAGCAACCTGTCTATCAGCACCAAATCCAATTTGAAACAGCTCAGCAGGGTAAGCTTGCTCGAGTCAGGCATGAGAACGAGCTTTCAAGGTCTTTGCCGTGATGACTGTTTTGGCCGAACTATCCATGCTGCAGATTTGGCGGCAGCGCAGACTGTACCCCCTGCCAAGAAATACCATAGCGCTCGAAGGTCTTTCATCCACGTTTTCAGGGTTTCAACGGGACATTTGTAAGCCAATCGCTTCATCTCCACATTCACTCATTGTTCCTCCATCTCTTTCGTAAGCATATTATATGTTGGGGTAGTCTTGTTCGCATATGTATGCGATAGCCGACTACTCTCCGCCACGGTTCAAGCATGCTGGGGTAACCAGCTGAGTATTTCCCACCATGACTATCGCCATCAGGCTGTTCAGGGCGTTCGTATACCAAACGTCACGAGCTCGATCTTTCCCAGTACAATGACAAGACTGACACGGACAAAGAGAAGACCCCTCACTGTCAATCAGTATGCGTCCCTCCAAGATATCATGTTTACCGCATCTGCTACTTTGGCTCCTTGGCTTTGTATTCCTGTCTGCAACAAGTCCAACACCAAATGCTGCAAATATACACACCTACAACGCTCAAAGCAGACCAAGACTTATACCATCCTCACAGACGAGGAGCAGTCCTCAGTATACCCCAAAGCGTTTTCCTGTCGCCAGGGATCTCTATGAGTTGCCGAATGGATGGGTTCGTACAGTCTAGAATACTTCCTTCTCCACCCTTTCGGAGTCTTAGATCTCAAGACATGCCCGGGAACATGCAGTCCAAACGTTAAAGATAGACTTGTCTTACAAGTCAAGTTCCTCCCCTAAGGAAGACATGCTTATGCCAAAAGTTGTGTAGATCGGCCGAGTCGACAAATACCTCTCATTACTACCTGTGCAGATCGCCGCATCGGTTCTCGAAAGCTTTTATAACGTTGTCATAGACAACGTAAGGCAGAAATGGATTCAGCAGCAGCAGCCCGTGAATAGCTTCACAATCACATGGGCGAACATTGAATTGGAATTCTTTTCTGCTACAAGAACAATACCCGTAAGGCATTTTTGGGGTCCTTTCTTGCAGCCCAGCGCTGGGTCTTGAGTCGCGTGACATGTCACTGAAGCAGGCTGCTCATCTCGCCATCTCTTTGCTCCCTCGACGCTGTCTCATGGCTCGAGGCCATTCTCAGAACGGAAATGCTGACCCGGAAATATGCTAGTGGAATTTCGTCTTAGCATTTGCAGAGAGACTAGCCCACTTAACACAGCGAGGTTTTGTTGGAAAATACTGTGTAAGACAGCGCAGAATCTTTGGAACGAGCTGGCTAACAAGACTAGATCTACTATATCCACTTACCAACTGGAGAAGAAATTTCCATACACTTGTTGATACCCTTGGTAGCTGCGGGAGCATGATAAGCCGCGAATCGGCCTTGGCAGATGTCTACCCCTTGTATTGGCACCCTGCAAGCAGAGTATGGGGTTGTGTTTTGTAAGAGGATCGAGCAAAAGTCATGCATAGAGGGGGAAATTAGGCGAGCAAGGGTTCTGACACTTTTAGGTCCCTCACCGAGTTAGAAGTGGAAATTTCGAAGCTCTACAGGAAACCATGTTGTTGAGAGGGGGGGAGGGAAATCCCAAGGGCTTCATTCTTTCCATTTTGGCACACTTTTGTGGGAATCAGTCAGAATACGTGAACCGTTCATCTGAAGGAATTGAGCATGATGGGTATTCAAGCAGGAAAGATGCTTTCCCCATACCAAGAATTATGAATTTGGGCTCGTTTGATTATAACTGTCAACTTTTCTGGGACAGTCCCTATTGAGATCTGGAATCTTTTTAGATTCCTTCTATGCATGACTTTTGCTATCATCTCTTAGCTGAGGCAAGAACTTGAACCAGGGCCCCGGGTAGTGGTGGTGCGAACCCCTAGAGGGTATGCACATGCCGCGGGATATGGATGTTTTTGACCAAGTAGAAAGTGAAGTCGCATCATGCAGACTTGACATTCCAAACCTCTTGGAGTCATACTACCTAGTGCAGGTCTTGATCATGATTTCGTCGAAGAGAAGAGACTGCATCTCTGGCATAATGAAGTATCCTTGGTAAACAGTGAATTTGTCTCGGAAAATTCTTGTGCTATGACTGAAATGCTTGGGGCTTAACAACGATGAGCGTGGACTGAAGGGGCACATAGGAAAGGCTGCCAGAGTCAGAGAACTACCCCAAAGGGGCTTAGCGGTATTGGCACATCTGAGGGACCGAGGCAAGCAAGAGGAACGAAGTTTGATAATATCTTGAGACTGAGAAGACATGCTTTCATTTGAAGCCAATGTCATCGGGGAGAACGACAATCGATGGCTTATTGCAATGTCTTTGTCCAACATCGAGTAGAATCCCGCGGCAAGGCTTCAATGAGATCTCACGGCCAGGTGCGAGAAGTCTGATAGTATGTCGAAAACTCCACCCACGCCAGACCCACACACAAAGCTTCCTCACAAGCTCTCGAACTGTTCCGCGTCCATTACGCCAACCCGGAAACCTTCAAGCTCAGCGGTGCGCTTATCAGAAACCCTCCTTCGTTGGCCAGCATGTCCGTGATCAAGACCGTATAAGGCACCTAGACATAACATCTGCATATCAAGAGTTGCGGAGGTCAACCCTGCAAGGTCATTATGCCCATATTCGAGATTGTGTGAAGATATTGGTGAAAGAACGCGGTCAGAAGCCGAATTTGCGGTTGTACGATGCATTGCTGCTTGCCAACACGGATCATCAGTATGGCTCAGCAGGAGAGGTTGCTAGGATCCTAGATGAGATTGCGGTGGAAGGTCTTACCCCGGATTCCGCTACATATCATGCTGCTTTGACGGTGGGATATTGCACTAGAGGATTCAGATATGCTTTGGCTGACACCATACAGGCTCTTGCTGTACATCCAGACTGCCTGTTGAGGCAACGCATACTCGAAGAACTACGCCAACGATGGTTTTCCTTGACCAAAAACGGCTGGCACGACGTGGTTACGGGTCTGATCAGAGAGCGACAGCTAGAGCTTGCGCTTGATACTCTGGACCAAATGCAGAAAGAAGGAGCCAAAGTCGACTCTTGGCTTTATGACCTGATCATATATACCCTTTGCTCTGCTGAAGAATTCGACTCGGCAGTCAACCTAATGCAACACCGCCTCTCGTCAGGCGAATTCTACATCTCAGCGACCCTGTGGTACTATCTGCTCGACACTGCCTCACGCGCCCTACACCATCGAGGCACCCTCTTTGCTTACAGGGCGAGGGTCGAGAGCTCGTATCTCAATCCTTCTGCTGGAATCTGCATCAATATAATTTCTACTGCAGCTCGTCATGGAGACATTTACCTCGCGACGTCCGCCCTACGTATCCTAGGTCGCCGATCAGGCAACCCTATCCAGCTCCACCACTACGAAGCTTTACTAGAAACATACATGACCGCCAAGGACATTCGCACTTCGTTCACTCTCCTTACCATCATGACGGCTGCCGGCCATCCTCCAACAGCAGCGTCTACTCGGCCCATATTCACCCATCTATGCCTGTCGCCCAGTCTGGTAGCTACAGCAGTCTCAATACTCGAAGAACTCCGCGAGCAGGACCGTCAAATTCCGATACAGGCTATCAATGTGATAATGGAAGCGTACATAGCTCACCATGACCTCGCCTCTTCTCTTTCAATCTACAAGGCCTTGCACAACTTTGGAGACTCTCTTACTCCCGATACTGCAACATTCAATCTTCTTTTTCGCGGCTGCTCGCAAGCTGCTCGCAAAGACCTTGCCATGTTCCTGGCTTCTGAAATGGTGGCGCTAAAGGTCGTGCCGGACAGACTCACGTACGATCGGCTCACATTGGTATGCCTCAATAGCGAGAGCAGCATCGACGATGCCTGGCGCTATTTCGAGGAGATGCGTGGCCTGGGATGGTGGCCTAGACATGGTACTGCAGTGTCATTGGCAAGGAGAGCCTGTGAGAGAGGCGACCAAAGAGTCTGGAGGCTTGTCAGCGAGGAGGGAGGTGAGGGAGTCCCGAAGTGGAAAGTGGAAAGTCTGATCCAAGAATATTGGAAGGATGGCTCTGAAGAGCCCGAAATGGAGATAAATCCGGAAAGGCGTGAGGGGGAGTAGAGATGCTCGCTCTCATATTTTGAAGCTTGTATATGTGTACATGACGCCCAGATACCCAGAGACACATTCGTGGATATAGAGCACATCGCTGTCACTCCAAGGGCACAAGCACGGTCCAAGTGTTTCTATGCAGTGTGCCATGCTATGCTACAAATCTTCCACGGTGATGTACAGATTCTTACAGCTGCCAGCCGCTATCACGCACTCCTTTACCTCCGCCGTAGATACCAATTATGAGCTAGAGTATTTATCTCAGTTCCGTAAGGTGTCGGCACCTCCGCTAAGCCTGGTCTCGCAACCGGATGCCTTAGATACACCGCCGCGCATACTCTCTGATGCACCTCCAAGTATCGGGGCACAAATGCAAATGCGGACATCCACTCTCTAGGCCGCCAAGGAGTAGCATACGGTTTTGATGGATCCACAGGGTTCTCGCGCGCGTCTTTGAGAGCGTCGCGGAGAGTCTTGAGTTGGGTAGAGTCGAGGGTGGCGGCTTCCGCCTGAAGTTCGGGCGTTGAGAGTACGGGTACTTCTGGTTTTGGGGGTGACGGTGATTTTAGACCAGTATTCGGTGCTGTAATCATACGCGCTACTATTTCTGCTAATTGACTGTCGAGCGAGGTCGCTGTCAGGGTCTTGGGGCGGCCTAAGGTGCGTTTCACAGTCCTTTGAAAGGCGCGGAGATCTTGCTTTCGTTTTGCAGTTAGAGAAGTTGAAGGAGTTGCGAGAAGTTCTTTCGCTTGGCTGAGGAGAGACTGAAGGCTTTCTTTGGGGGTTTTGTCCGTGGTGGTGGGTTCATGAGATGGGTCTGACTTGGGCGTTTGAGGCTCGGCATCTTCAGAGCCTTCGGAGTTAGACGCTTTCTTGGAGTATCTGGCCCGTATCTTGCGGCCAGCGCGACGCTCGAATCTATCTTTTGGGGCGCCGGTGGCATAAAGCACGCGATCAGGCTCCACTTGAAACATGTCGCCTGGGTTCAATTGATAGCCTGGGTAGATCATCTGCGGAGCGTGAGGTTAGCTATGTGCTAGCAAACATCTCGAGAGCAATGAGGACCTCCTTTCCGTTGACTCTGACATATCCATGTACCACGAACTGGCGTGCCTGCCTCGTACTACTTGCGAACAGAGCCCTGAAGATAGCGGTATCCAGCCTCCGCTCGGTTGGCGCATATGTCATGTTGAGGTATGGTGTCCGTGGGAACGGCTTAGGTTTCTGATCAGGAGGTGGATCAAGTCCTGATCCCCTCCCTTCGGCCTGTTCTGATCCATCCTTCTCTGCTAGCATCTTATAATCCATTGGCACGACAGAGCGGATTGTCCGTCGGAACATCCTGGTCCACTGCTTCTCTCTGATAGTTTCGCCATGGTATGCTCTTGTCAAAGCTTTGGCGGTCCATTTCTGTTGGAAAAAGGTTCTTTCGATATTTTTGGGAGGCTCGACTCGAGAGAGATTGAACAGGTTGTATTTATTCCATGACTGTCGAAGTTTCTACGAGATGTATTAGTCATTCTTTAATCTCCAACACATATGCGCCGAATATAAAGACTTACTATTCTCTTGAGACCATGAAACCTTTTGCGCATGGTCAATCGATCTGGTATGAGTGGTAGTCAGTTCTGTCAGGGCTGTCGCTATAAATTAATATGTGCTGGGGCGCGGGCTTCCCAGTAGTGAAAAGCTTGCCGAGTACTGGTTTTTGACTGTTTAATTCTCAGGGAGACCCCCTAAAACCCCTCGGACCCTTCGGGGGCTCTTTAAGGGCTCTCCGAGGGCTTCTATCGGAGGGGCTGTCAAAGCAAGCTCGAAATTTGATTATTTTAGTGATATTTGATTAATTTCGAGCTTGCTTTGACAGCCCCTCCGATAGAAGCCCTCGGAGAGCCCTTAAAGAGCTCCGAAGGGTTTAAGGGATTTTAAAGGGTCTAACCCTGAGAATCGAGAGAGATAGTTGATATACTTAGGGGGAGACCCCCTAAAACCCCCCTGACCCTCCGGGGGCTCTCCGAGGGCTCTCCGAGGGCTCCTGCCGGAGAGGCTCTTCTCGCAAGCTCGATAGACGAATACTTTATCAAATTTCGTCTACGCTACGTTATCTGAAAGCGTATAAGTAATTCTATAACTCTACGTACTTAGTTTATTATCATATTTTTGATAAAAGAAAAGGAATCAAAAAAGGTGGATTTGAAGATTTTGAAGTTCTTTTCCAGCTTCCTCTTTTGGACGTACCCGTGTGTACCCGCGTTTAGATCGAAAATGGAGAAATAAGGTGTGTTTTAGACTGAAAATGGTGAGATCCGATGATCTGATTGGTCACTAGCCTCTTAGCGTAGAAGCCATTTGGGATTTCAACTCTTGAGCATTGAGAAAGCAAGCTTTCCAATCACATCACTAGAATTCGCGTTCGCTGCAGGGATTTATTAGTGGTTCACCGTATTCTAGTCGGAGCCGGGAAAAACTGCCCCGCTCGTTTGACAGAGCTGACCCTCCCACTTTTTCATGACTCGAAGGTAGTCATCTCTCTCCCACTCACCACAAGCTTATCTTGTAATAACCAGATCTACAATTCTCCGCAGAAACATTCTCCAAGGTACACGAGTACATTGCATCGAGACCCAATCACTGCTTCCCATCATCTATATACTATTTGACTTGAAGACCCTGTCCCACTAGAGTGACTGGAGAGCTATCAGTCCTTCGATATTTATGCAAAGCAGTCTCTAATAGGATCTTCTAAACAAAAGGTAAAGCATTTAGCCTCACGTCTGATGATCTATCAAACTCGCATTATGTTTAGGGACTCTTTCCTTCTGTCAACGGTGAAAAGAATATGGCTGAGACTGACAGTTGCTTAGAGAAGAGTCTACCCAATATGGAGGTGGAAGAGCTAACCAAGCCTGGAAGCGAGGACCAAGTAGAAATACCATCGCTTGGCCAGTCGCAAGATACAATTGAAAGATTGATTGAAGAATCAAAATCGGAGAGTCAGACCAATGGCACCGAAGCAGCGTCTGCCGGAAAGAGCGCCAAGAGCCCAGTGGAGCAGGAAGATAAGACGCGCAAGGAATCCGAGAAGGAGAGTCCAAGCCAGGACGGACCTTCGAAGAGGGTTCGAGAAGGACAGAAATGGAACGACAGACCTCGCAAACAGTATGGCAATCCCAATGATCGTCCACACAAAAGGCACAATAACAAGTCGGATCTCGTTTCTCAACAAGAGAGTAGCGATCCTGTTGCCATTCGCAAACAAGTGTGTAATTCTCCGATGTTATATAACTTCATAAAGACTGACCGCCATACCCAAGGTCGAGTTCTACTTCTCAGACTCCAACCTTCTGACAGACAAATTCCTGTTCACAAAAGTCGAAGGCCATGAAAATCTACCAGTCCCAATTAGTACCATCCACTCGTTCAAGCGTATGCGCCACTTCCAGCCCCTATCTGCCATTGTCGACGCTCTCAAAGAGAGTACCATCCTAAACGTCGTCGAAGATGACACGTCCATCCAGCGAAAAACCCCGCTACCTGAAGGTCTGGTAGGTAAGCCAATGGTAGAGATACAAAAGGTTCACGAAGACAAAACCATGGCTCGAAGTGTCTACGCAAAGGGTTTCGGGGAAGAACGGCCAAGCACTCAATTTGACATTGAAGCATACTTTGCTCAGCACGGCCCCACCAACTCTGTGCGTCTACGACGATCGTATGACGGTACCTTCAAGGGAAGTGTGTTTGTGGAGTTTGACTCGGAAGAGACCCAGAACGCTTTCCTCGCTCTAGACCCCAAACCTAAGTGGCAAAGCAATGAGCTGCAGGTCAAGAGCAAGAAGCAGTACTGTGATGATAAGGTCGATGATATTGCAGCTGGCCGTGTGAGGCCCAACGAAGATGATCGTGCTCATCAGAATGGTAATCGTGACTGGGCTGGTCATGATCACGATAGGCGGGGAGAGAAAGGTGTCGGACGCGATAGAGACGACAAGGATGACCGGGATTGGAGGGTTCGTCGGGAAGAAGACCGCAAGGGTGGCTTCAAAGACAGGAATGGCGGAAAGCACAAGGGTTTCCGCGGTTCAGGACGCGGTCGAGGAGGCGGCCGAGGCAGAGAAGGCCGAGATAGATCTAGGAACAGGAACGATCAGAGGAGAGAGAGAGACGAGCGGTAAGTTCGTGTGCTTCTGAGACGCACTATCGATTCACCTGATGCAAGACTCATTCTAACAAAACGACAGCGGAGTTCCAAAAGTCAGGACCTCAAGCCCGGGATCGGACGACAAGGATAGCCCAAGCACAGAAAAGCCGGTCAAAGACGAAGCCAAAGAGGCTACCGACACCTTGACGAAAAATGACGACAAGGCAGTGGATGCGACTACAGCACCACCTGAAGCTCCTCCAGATGCTGCTGCCGATCCAGGCTCAAAGAAGCGTGCTCGGGAAAACGACGATGGAGCAGAGGAGCAGGGGAACTCTAAGAAGGTCGATTCAAAGGTCGAGGAGTCGTGATGTGAAGTTTGCAATTAGAGAAGAGGTTCATTCTGCAGCGGTTTGCTGATGATCATGCATGCATAGAGAGAAGATGGCATTGGCTTTCCATTTTTCTGTCCTCAAAAAGTATCAAGATACCAGTCTTGCTTGTACATATTGCTTTTGCATACTGCTTTTCGGCCACAAGGATAGCTTTGATATGAGGATATTGTTGAAAATGAGAGATAACGATAAGTGCTAGCGGATACTTGATTAATGATTAATGGCAAAGACTACAACAACGTGATGGGTCTTGACCCCTGTTATATCTCCGCGTAGAATAGAAATGGAGCCAATGTCTACGTACTTCCTCTTTTGAATCACAATCTAACCCAAGTGGTGGCAATTGGGAGTCCTCAGGGTATCACGACAAGAACAGCAAGGAAATAGTTTTCGGTGGCATACAACTCGTGTCCACTCTTTTCGTGTACGGAGGAATTTGTGGCGTCCATTTCGGGTGTACAGGCAAAAGGAGAAAT